AGTAGTTAAAGTGTAGGAGGGCATAACAAAAATTTTTATGAACTTGTTTTATTGCCTTTAATTTTTGGGGCTTATAAATGGCAGCAAGTGGTATATATAGCTATATTTGGTTGGTTTATACGTAGATTTTGAAAGTAAAATTAAGAATTTGAAACAGGTGCGAGTAAAGATGTATTCTAAAATGTGAATATTAGATTTGTTTTGACAAGTAGTATGATAAAGAATTGTAAGTTTTTGAAAAACAGGGATCATGTCTACAAAGGTATATTAAGAGAAGCAGGTAAGAGTTCCTGAAAGACTATTAGCCTGACCCCGTCTTGCCGAAGAAATTTTGAAAAGCCTACATGTCCCAAATGAGCTGGGAAATGTAGGCTTGAAGACTGGGGCTCTAAATCAAAGCTTAAGAAGCCCAGCTTGGCGAAAAGGCCAGTTTTAAATGAAGGCTTAAGAGCCTAGTAATGGCAATTTTCTGATCGCCCTTTGTAATGTTTAGAACTCCTATCAAAAAGTACCAAGGTAGTGCGACACTCTAATTATAATGGCGCTATGGTCCAAGCTCTTTTGTAAGGTCTTCTAGTACATTTTTCAAACAAATTCAAAGGGGGGGGGGAGTAAAGCCTTCGCAAGTCAGGCTTTGTAAGACCAGTAGTTAAGATATACGAATTTTGTATTGAAGGACTTTTATATTAATATTATGCCTATAATCTTCAAACTTACAATGACCTTTTACATTCTTTTTATAACTATTACGAGGATTATTTTTGCAGAAAACATCAATTTCTTGAGAATTTTTGAAAGCCTGCATTCTAAGATTCTATTTCCAAATCACGCATTCCAAGATTCTAACTATCTTCACATTGTTTACGTACTATACTAACATACTATACGCCGTATAATTACCCTGGCGCAAAAGTTCAACTCACATTGATTATAAATTAACCCGGAAGTCTTCGGTGCTCGTGTAGCGTGAAGCCGATGTTACTTTTGTTTTTTTACCGAGTTATATCTTCATAAATTGATTTGTTTATTTTGCCTTTTGGTCTGGAGGTGCTTAACGGAAGCCGGCTTCCCGAACACCGGTAAATAAAGCACGTTTGACGGATTCGAATTGGAGTTGACAAACCGTAAACCTTGTCAAAACCGCATATCAGCGATTGAGTGATTGTCTCGAGATTTGGCTGGATTTTTGTGGTTTTTGGGAGCTTATCGAGCATTTTTTAGGCTTTTTATAAATTTTTGATAACATTAACGTTAAAAAATGGTTTTTTATTAGATTTAGGCAAATCTTTTTAGTTTAAAGTGCATGATTTAGTAGAGAGTAAAAGTGTTTTTTTGACTTTTAGTACACTTACAAGGAAAGTGCTCAACCTCTGATTAATTTCAAAATTTTTATGATATATAGAAATATTATGTAAATATATATATTCTCTTCAGCAATGTACTAAATCGCGCTTCCCAAGAAATTTCAAGAAAATTGAATTTTGAGGTCAAATTGGCATTGTGTTGTAGGCTTATAACATTGTCATTATTTGGCTTTTAATCTTTTTCTTTGATATACTAGTAGAAAACCTTTAAATGAACATACGTTTTTAAATTTGTAAAAGTACCTTGTCAGGAAAGTCGAAAAAAGTGCTTGGAACAAAATGCCAAATTTGCCAAATTGGCGGGAAACCCAAATAATTTAAATTTAAAATATAAAAGCGCGAGCTAAAATTTCTTATGGGTACTACTGGTGGTACAAAGAATTCATATAAAAATTTTTGAGCTGTTTCTGAGTGGGGCAGGTTGGGTACTTTCCCATTTAGTATAATAAAAAGAGCATAAAGTGAAAGTGATTTTTTTTGGCTTTTAGTACCGTTGAATTTTTAAAAAATTTCAAAGCTTTAAAAAATTTTTTTAAATTTACTGTTTTAACCAAAAGGTATTCTTTAAAACAGACTGTAACTTTTTTATTATTAAATCACTTGGTCATAACCTCAATTTACAGTAAATACTATTACTGAGTAATGTCATTATAATTCATTACATATTTCGAAAAAATAACTTTTTTGCCAAAACTTTATTCTGTGTATAAAGCAAAGCTTGATACAAGTCAAAGGATACATTTCTTTTACATAATTATGTGCATAATTACTATATCGCTAGTAACTTATCATTTATTTTTTTATTTTGATGTCCTCTTCGCGTTATACATACTATGAGATTTGGCACTTTTGTTTTAGGTTTTATCTTTGATATTAGAGTGTTCACATATCTCTGTGCCTTTGACCATAAAGATTTTGGTTTGAGAGAAGGCGCAAAATTATATGAACAGCCTAATATCATAATAATTTAATTTCTTATGAATCGACGAAAAAATGCTAAATTTTGGAAATTTTCAAGTTTGCGTAAAATATTTTTTTAAATTTATTATATTTTATTAAAAAACTTTGAAAAATATAAATTACACAACATTTTGTGTACATTCAAACAACATTTTTCTAAAAAAATTATTCTTGATGTTTTTCGAGGAAGTTGTTCTTTGTCCAAGACCGACTAGAAAACTAAGTTTGTCTGGCCAAAGACTTTTTTATTATGCAGGTGCTATAGTACTTAATAACCTTACTTTTTGTACGTGTTAAATGTTTTAGGTGATTTTAAAGTTTGTGTAGCACAGTAAAAAATTATTCCTTTTTCAACACAAGATATATAACTCGAGACGTAAGAGAGGACCATGAGGGTTTGGTAAATACCTTCAGAGCGATCCATTGTAGTTGTTCCAAATTGGGTCCTATTCAAGTGATCCTGTTTCTTGAGCTACAGAGTCGCAATGAGGTGCTCCTCAAAACTTCAGACCTTAGTCGAAAGCCTGTGTAAGCCAAGCAACAGATTTGTCATAGTCCTCGTGTACTTATAACTTCTTATTTATTTGTAGATTACGAACTTGCATGGGTCGAGCAAAGCTGTCGCTTGAAACTGAGTCTGTAGATGGTTATTGGTCGGTGACCGCGCCTCACAGGTTTTGTCTAACAAGGGAAAGGCAAATAGGGGGGTATCGGACCTAGAACTGAACCCTATATCATGTGAAGGAGCATGAAAAGTTATGTAGAAATTAAAATTTTTAGCGGCCCAAAGTCATATACTAAAAAGTTACAGTAATTCAAAGTTTTTCCTATGAGATTTCTTATTAGAGAATACCCTGGAAGAAAGCGTCCAAAAGGACGGTGAAACGCTGTGTGTTTCTGTAGCCCAGTGGGTTGAAACCAAGCCTTATATTCCGGAGGCTGAAGGTTCGAATCCCACTGCGGTCGCACTTTTGCCATCGCTTTGTTTTGATGCTTGCAGGTTTGCAAAAAAGTTGAATTTTTTAATATTTTGTAAAAAAAGGCCAACAAGCGTTTTTAAAGATTTTTATTTTATTTTTAGTAAAATTTGGAAAGCAAATCAGGCAGTCCAAATATATTCGTTTTACTATACGGAGTTAAACTTTAAAAATTTCTGAACGGTTCAATTTTAATAAAGTAAAAGTTTTTTAATCAAAAAGCACATTAAAGACCCTCAAAAATATTATTTTAAAGTTTCAGAACAAAACACTGAAAAATTTATTAAAACATTTTTTTCCAAAAAAAATCCACAGGGGGGGGGGACTCTTTGAAATATTGGAAAGTAGTAAACTTTGAATTACTGTAACTTTTTAGTATATGACTTTGGGCCGCTAAAAATTTTAATTTCTACATAACTTTTCACGCTCTTTCAGATGATATAGGTCTCAGTTCTAGGTCCGATACCCCCCTATTTGCCTTTCCCTTGTAATATAAAAATTCAATTTTTTGGTTTTGATGTCCCATTTTGTGGACTTTTATAAACACAGTGTTTTAAAAATTTATGTTTTTGAAATGCCACAAGTAGTACATAAATATTAGGATACGTGCACATGGCCTATAATTTTGGTTTTTTAGGACCATAACTCAAAAATGCCAGCTATAAGAGGTCTGGCATTATAGTTTGAAATGTAATGTTATAGAAGAAAAAAATTCTAAATTTTGATCGTTTTGGTCTGAATTTATTTTGAGAAACTTGCTATTTTTTGAATTACAGTGAAACAGTATGACCCTCGATGCTACGACGCAACTTTTATAATGACAGCTTTTTGACCAGTCTGAAATTTTGATACCATAGGCGGGGTACCCTACTTTCTTCTACCTTTCTAACTCTTTTCCTTTCCATTCTCTCTCTTTAGTATGAATATGCCTAATTTTTCCTTCCTCACCTTCACTTTCACCCTACCCTTTATGAATGTCTTTTTACATGTTTCCTCATACAATTCACAGTAATATAGGTGTAGCTCTAACAATTAACAAAATGTAAACTTGATTTGCATTCCAATGTCATTACAGGAACTATTTGTTGCATTATCATAACTTTCTCTTGCTTTATTTGTTCGCTTTGTCCTATTACACATGAGTATTGTCAGTAAAGTTTCTCTTTGTAAGTAACTTTTTTTGTCAGAATTTCTTAATATTAGGTTGTTTACATAATTCTGTGCTCCTTGGCAAAGGGAACTGCTGCAGCTAATGAGCACAGAATTAGTTGAACAACCTAATACAATTCTTTATATTCATAACTTTCTTTACTATGGCCTATTTCTATATGCTTTTTTCAAAATGCTTATCACTTTATATACTACGCGATTATTGATCAAAATGTACTTTATAACACTTTTTTTACTGTAATTTGACTTACTACGTAATCAATGACCACAACGTGCTTTATAACCCTTGTTTTGTCTATAACTTGACCTATACCCCACGACCAATGACCATAACTCGTACTTAAAGCGCTCTCTTTTCAGTTATCGATAAACTTTTTTTTTCTAAAACACCCCGCCCGAAGTGACAACCCTAATCCAACGTTTCCAATAACTGCTCAGAACAATGCCATTTTTCTTCAAATATATTTAAATGGTGTTATGTTAGGCAGCGGCAAGAAGACGGGCGCACCGAATAAATTGACGCCATCCAATGGAAACGATACAACGCATGATGAACAGTGTAGCCGAGGTAGGTAGGGAGTTCTGGCTTTGAAGTTTTGTAATTTTTGTGTTTTTTGGGGGGTGGTAAAAAATAAAAGAGTTCAAACAAATAAAAAAATTTTTTTGAAAACGTACCCGACCCTTCTCCACCGCCAAGCCTTGATATTAAAAACGGTTTTCTCATAACAATATTGTTTACAACAAAAGCCAAACAACTTTTAAATAAAAAAAAATTTTCAGAAAGTAATGTACGTAAACTCGACCATCCCCCCAGAACCCGACCCCGACACCAATCTACGCAAATTCCTCTCCGTCGTGGGCTTCGGAATCGGCGTTGAAGCCATCTGTGTCAACCTTTTCGCCCTCTGGTTCTTCATCCGTTCCCCAAGTGCCAAGAACGTGCACGGTCGATTGTGTATCGCCAAGACCGCCGGCGACCTACCATATGCTCTGGCAATGACATTTTGGTGGCTACCATGGTCATATTTCTACAAAAGCGTGACCGACTTCCAAGGCCTTCAAAAGCCTCATCTGTCGCTGGATTTTGTTATCGTTACCATCACTTTCACATCGTACTATTTTGCACTAAATGTGGAGGTGCTGATTGTGTTGGCACGTTTTACTGCCGTCTTCTACACCTTTACGTTCAAGATGATTTTCCGCCAGCGATTTGTGGGTCCAATCCTCTCGTTTTGCCTTGTTTTGGGGTTTTTTCCAGTGGGTAAGTTACTGTGCAAACAATATTGTTTTAGGTCCGTTAATGGGGTTGGAGGAGAAAAGTTGAAATGTCGCCAAATGTTTTTGAAAATGGTTTTTAATTACGTAAATAGGTATAGAGCATCTGAAAAAAAAATTAAAAAATTTCAAGAAATTTGATAAGTTTAAAAAAAATTATTAAGTTGTCCAAATATGAATGAGCCTTTCAAAGTAATACCAAAAAATCCTAAAAACCATATTCCATTGGCCGCAAAATAAAAAAAAATAAAATTTCAAACCTTTCAGCCTTCTCCTCATTCACGAATTACTGTGTAATGTACTACATGCCCGTGTGGCTCAACTGGGACCTACTGGACATCACAAACTTCCCTCAGCCATGTAAATACATATCATCTGCCTACGTCGTAACATACGTGTATATCTGTTCATTTGCTGTTTGTTGTATCATTATTGCCATTGTTACTGTATGGAAACTGCATGTTCTCAACAATGTAAGTTACAGTGTATATGAGGTAGAAGAGGTAAGTTCTACATAATATGCTCAGGTTTACTACTAGGTTGTTCAAATAATTCTGTCAAAGCAACTTTTTGAGACTAGAGCACAGAATTATGTGAACAGCTTAATCTAAATCGATTTTAAACCCTAATATCCTATTATATTACTGTATATAATAGTATAGCAGACCCAACTATACCAATTTTATATGCCATTTGGCTAGCTAATCAAAACAAGATTACAATATCAAACTCAAGTTCCTATGTTTTAGTCAAAATTCGCCCAAAATTCGATGAGTTCGATGCAACGAGCCCGCCGACGACATTCAGAATGGGTCCTACTCGTCGTCAGTATAACCTCGCCATTCGTAATATCACTGAGAGGCTCGGTATCCCTAATAGCCTACTTTACTAAGCCCTGGAGTCCCTTCCATTCGGAGATCTCGGAAAACTTTGTCTACAACTTTGTCCTCGACTTCATCGTCGTTCAGGCTAATGCGTATGTTATTTTAACAGGTTTATTACTTTGAATGATAACAGTTTAAGTGCTCGATGAATAATTGTAAAAATTTGTGAAATTACTTACAAGATATTTACTTACATTTTTGTCATTACAAATTTTTCCATAAGATTACTGTAACGTGCGATACAAAGACTTTTATTCAAAATAGGTTAAAAACAGGAGTTTTTTGGTCGAAAATTGGATTTTTGAAAAAAATAATCAAACGTAATTTTAGAAATATTTTATATTTGAAATCTACAGGGTTTCTCAAATCTAATCGATTATAAAATAGCAGTTCATTAATAAAATTCCGCAATTTATTTAAACTTTTTGTGAGTAACATAAGCTTTTTCCAGTCGGGTTCGTATCCGGTTGGATGCAGTGCGGTTTTTAGTCATAAACTAACTGTGCTGGTCATATAGTAAAAACCACTTTATATCTAGACTTATCTTAACCTAAGATACATTTTACATAGGCATTCGACCTTAATTTTGTATTCCATATAATAGTTTTGACCAATTTTAGCCTAAAAACCGAGAAAAACTTTACTGTTTTGGACAAAACGTACCAACTTAAAGCTTTACAAACAAATACTTCTCCTTTAACGCATTTTATTTTACAGAATAATTCAACTCTGCATTAATCCGGCATTTTGGTCCTTTCTCAAAGGCAACTCCGTTACACACAGCAGCACCAAACATACCACACCACCTCACAAAATCAAAGTCAATAATGGCGCAGACTTACTGTAAATACAACGTTTTTTTTGTTTTATAAAATATTTTTCCTTCTTCGGACTTTCTTATCAGCTCCTGATAAAAAATCGTTCAGATTGGTATCAAGACATTCTGCGAACTTATGTTAGACTAGACCTTTTAGCTCCTTTCAGATGTACTTTTTGGTTTTAGGCTTATTTTTTAGTTTGTTTTGATCAGAAATAGAACTTTATAAGATTATAAGAACACATTTTCAAATTATTTAATCGTAATTTTCCATTTTATCTTATTTTAATTCCATTTTAGACTTCTTATTACCTAAAATTTTAAAAACTTTCAAATTTCAGAACAAACGTCTGCCATTCTTTGGTATCACTTATCAAACTTTCTATTTACCATAAAATTGGCAAAAACATGTTTAGAAATTCTAAAGATATTAGTTTTTAGACTTCCATCTATCAAACACCAAAACTGATCGAACCAAACCATAGATAATATAATATATAATTCAAAACTGTTTTTCCTAAAATTATACCAAAAAACGCTTATTGAATATATTATTTAATTTATGCTACGGGTTTATAGTTCTATCGTTTTCGGTGGGAATTATGCTTCCTTATATTGTTTTAGGCCGGTAACCGTTTAGGAAGGAATCTTTTCACTTTCTCTAGTCAAACTGTAATTAAAAAAATGAAACTACCTAATATTATCTAAATTTTCCACTAGTGCATTTTGACATTTTCACTTCAAAAAAACGACGTTTTTGTCGTCCACATTAAGTTAGTCGAAGTCCCAGCACGAATACGAGCTTCGCTAATTTTGTGGCATTCCGTTGCACGCGAAAAATGGCTGAAGTTTTTTTCTTCTAAAGATCAGTCAATAAAACAATGTTTATGAATACAAATTGGGGTGTTTATGAACACATAACATTGGCCATGTTCTAAATGAGGTTCTCACTTTGTGCTGAACGTTTGTTTTATGGTTTATTTACATAATAACTACTTTTGGTGGCGGTTTTTTGAAATTTCAGTGAAATTAGTGCTGTGATTCACTTTCAGACTTATCCTTTCAGAGAACAAGAGAGTTTTTTGATAGATCGGCGAATCAGCCGGCTTTTGTGTTGTTTCTGGGTTTTTTGGTCTTGTCCATACGTGGTTAATATTGTTTTAATCATAATTTAATCTTAACGTAGATTCTGTTAAAAGTTTGTGTTATCTTTTTGAGTTCAATATTTGTCGTTAATTAGCTGACGATGTAAAAAAGAATATTAGTTGCATAATTTTTTGTTTTTAGGGAATGGCCGAGGGTAGTGCGGACCAGCGGATTTTAGTCCAACGAGAGCGTCGGCAAGGAGATGTCATATCCTCACATCGGGCAATATTGACCTTATCAAAGTCTATGTTTAATGCTGGATGTTTTTCGTTGCCTTATGCGTGGAAGTTGGGAGGAAAATGGGTAAGTTTCTTTGATATTGTTTTATGTGTTTAGATGGATGTGGTAGTTTTTGATATAACAATGAAAACTGTTGGTGGTTTTGGCTAATTTTTGTTTCAAAAAATGTATCAGATTCTGATGGTGATGAACGAAAAACATCACATTTATATAATGCTATTTTAGGTATCTTTTGTGCTGACATTCGTAATCGCTGGATTGAACTGGTATGGGAATCACATTTTGGTCAGATCAAGTCAACATTGGGCTAAAGAGTAGGTTTTGGTGTCTTTTAAAGATAAAGAGATATCTACTTTATTACTTTTAATTTGGTTTATTGTCTTATTTAATGTTTTGCTAAGTTATACATTAATATTGTTGTAGAACCGGTGTCCCAGCTTTGGATTATGGGCATTTTGCAAAGCGTGTTCTAGATGCTTGTGAATTTCCATTTCTCCGAAGAAACTCAAAAAGGCTCATGTACTTTGTCAACATCACAATCCTCTTCTATCAGCTTGGAATGTGTTCAGTAGCTATATTGTTCATCTCAGACAATATGGTAAATCTACTTGGGCATTGGTTTGATGGATCAGATCACACAAAGACTGTAATTATGGCAACAATTGCTATTGCTTTCATTTTGGTAACAAACATGTTTACTGAGATGAGAGTAGTCAGTGCATTTGCCATGGTATCTTCGGTCTTCTTCATCTTGGGTGCTGTTGTTATCATGAACTACACTGTGCAACAACCGAATCATTGGGGTATATTGCCGGCTTACACTGATTTTAGAGGCACAATATTGTTTATTGGCATGAGTATGTATGCTTTTGAGGGACAGACTATGGTAAGATATTTAGTTATCTTAAATATAGGTAACTATTACCTTGATATAGGTAATAGTTGAAAACGATTAGAAAAGGTTGTCTTTTTATGCTCAAAAAGTGATTACTGACAGTGTAAAGTGATATTAATGTTAAATTTATTTTTTAGGTATCAAAAATATATTTTCAGATTTTACCAGTCGAAAACAAGCTAGAGAACCCAGAAGACTTTTTGGACCACTTCGGTGTATTACCTACCACAATGTGTCTCTGCACATTATTTATGACAGCTATCGGATTCTATGGTTATAATGGATTTGGTGAAGCCATTAAGCCAACAATCACAATGAATGTACCTCTGAAGGGATTGTATTCTGTTGTCAACGTCTGTTTGATGATTCAAGCGACATTGGGACATTCGATTGCTATGTATGTTGTGTTTGACATGTTCTTTAAAGGATTCAACAGGAAGTTCAGTGCCAGATTTCCGAGTGTTCATAAACAGGTAAGAATTGCGGATATTGTAGTAGGATGTGTGTGTTTTAATAAAACTTTATCAATATTATCATTTTTAACAATATTTGGAGGATATTGTAGTAGAGATATTGTAGTAGAGTATTGACTTATTTTGGCAGTTTTTAACGTTAAAATGAATTTAACAAGTTTAAAGCCTCTTATTTTAGGTAGTAGACAAAGGATTCCGCATCTTCTGGGTCATGTTAACCTACTTTATGGCCATTCTCATCCCGAAACTTGAAATCATGATCCCATTGGTTGGTGTCACATCAGGCACGCTGTGTGCTTTGGTATTTCCTCCGATATTCCAGATGTTAACGTTCTGGAAGGAATGGAAAGAAAAACTAACACCGCGACAAAGGTACACACAGTTGGGTATCAACTTCACGGTAATCACGATAGGGTTCTGTGCGATTGCGGCTGGTCTATATGCGAATGTGTACGAGATTATTGAGGCTTTCCAACCACCAATACCTATTTAAGGAGGTCTAATACTTGCTTAAGGACGGAGAAGGAGGTTTTTGAATTGTCTATGGTCTTGTCTAGCCAGGGATATTCTAAATCTACATTTTTGGGGTTTCTGTAGCAAAACTAGTTTTGGACAAACATATATATAGTATTTCTATAAAGTCGAAAATGATATTGTGCTGTTTTTACAGTATCATAGTAAGAGAATGGGAGCTATGTGTTTGTCTACATTAATGTAACTTAAAAAACCTAAACTGGCGTGAACTGTAGTCTACATTTATTTTGATTTAAAATCAAAGCTACAAACGTTAACCTAAATTAACTTAGTTTAAAGTGGCGATTTATTGTTAAAGGGTATTTATTGGCTAGGGTAATATGCATTAATTTATTTAAGATTGTGAATCTAATCTTTTTTTTGCTCAGATATGGTATTCCCTCTAGTTTTGTGTCTAAAAACGTGATATTCCATGTTTTCCAAGTTTTTAAAATTTCATAATCCCCTTGAAATTATGTCCATCGACGTGTATTTATTTGAAATTGTGATTGTTTGAGTGCCTTTCTATCCCCTGGCGTTTCTCTTTGTATATCAACTTTTGTAATTGTGTTTTCAACGTTTTCAGCTTCGCAGTAGTTTTAATGTTAAGTATTCACTTTAGTTTTAATGTTTCGATAAATTTGATCTGTGCAAGGTTTTGAATTTTTATTTTAAAAAACATTTTATCGGTTGAAATGAAAAATTTTGATTTTCGAAACGTTGTGGGGGATGTAGACGGTTGTATGGCTAATACCTGGATCAGCCGGTTTGCCAAGTGTTGCGATATACCGGAAAGTACTTGGCCTGAACTGCCCAGAATCAGCTTTACTTTAAAACATTATTTTTTTTGTATATAAAACCAATAGTAATCATAAAAAATTTTAGCTTCTGCTTTGAGTTTTAAAATTTAAATTTTATACTTTATTTTGCTGTCAATTTAGGAAATTTGACATTGTGTTTTAAGGCATTTTGTTAGCTAAAAACTATTATTATATAAAAAGATGATTTCTTAAATAGTACTTTTTAAAAATGGGCTAAAGTTATGATATTATTAGTTTACTTTTATGACATATGATAAATTATGGTAGGTTTTATGGTTGAATTAGTTGCCAACGACTTCGTACAATCTCAATTCTTCATATAGCATAAATGGGCGTAACTTGTGTGTTTTGATTCTTTCTTTGTAATCGACCAAGAATTTGTGTCCGTCTTCAGTTTTGTTTCCTTGTAAGAACAATCCTGTGCGGTATTCGGGCGGGATCCTTAAATTTATTTATCTTGCGTTACATAATTTAAAAAAAATGAAAGTTTTATATTTGTAGACCTAATATTATAGTGAGGGTGCCTTGCTATCGAGGGTCATATTAAAGAGGCGTTGCTGTACTTGCATGTGTGTAATATAACTTACTTTGTGCAACGAACAACATCTTTCTTCGGAGCACAATCTTTGACAAATTGATCGTAAAGGCCTTGTGTTATGTTCACAGTGCCTGGATCGTTGGCTTGAGTACCGGACCATAAAAGGAATTTTCCGATTATTCTAAAAGTATTATATTATACTTTGCAAGGTATTATTGGCAATACAGTGGTTTCTCTTTATATTATAGTAATAGTAAGCTGTCTATATAGCAACTCTCTTTTCATTAAACAAAACATTGAACTCGCCAAGTCCAATTGCTCTAAAAATCACTCTGTGAAAGCATAAACGCTCCTGTATTGTACACAAAATGTTGAGATCTTCGAGGTTTCTTATAGTGTTAGTACTGTGTCTTGATATTTGAAAAAGTGAAAGAAACTACCGGTTATCAATTGAATCGTCTGCTACAAACTTGTCACTGATTTCTTGGTATGGGAAGTAAGGGCTCTCCTAAACGAAGATATAAACAATAGTTAACTATACAATATATACATGTTATACATATGCGTGTTATTAAACAAAAAAGCATTTTGAAAAAAAAATTTTTTTGAAAATTATAAGCTTTGAAATCATCACATACTATAACAGCTGCAAACTCTGTAGGCAAAACTCCGTTATTGTGGCGTATAATGTTGGTAATGAACTCAGGGAAAGTGGTCTCGTTAACATACTCGAAGAACACAGTGAGTTATCGACTAACTGATAGTTTTGGTATATTTTTGTGAGTCGCGACTCTTTCTATTATCTCAGAATCCATTATATTCATTCCCACCAAGGTTTGTTGATCAGGATTCAAAAGATAAGTGCAATTATCGGGCAAGTTGTATACTTTACCCGGATTGCTGTCTGGAAGATCGATTCGCGATTCTTCCAAAGTATCTAGGTTTAAAAGGTATAATGGCACTAACCATGGAGTTTTCTTTTGTTTTGGTTTGTCCTGGTAGAGGGCAAATGCACCATTTGGTTGAAGGAGCACGCTGATTTGCGGAATTCCTAGTTTTTGAATGAAGGGCACCAGATAACGGTCTGCAAAACTTATATTTTTGAATGGTGCAGCGCCGGCTTCTTCGAAAGCTTGGGCTAGATCGTAGGTATCAGCATTCCCCAAGTACAGTTGGTTGAGGTAGATATTCAATGCTTTGTAAAAGGTTTCTTCTCCTAGTAATTGCTTTACTGTATGGAGAAAGGCTCCGCCGACATGATATGTTATAACTAAAATACGTGAAAGCGATTTGTTTTGAATTTTCATGATAAAGTTTTTTTAATACCAATGATAAGCTTTTTATGGGTTTTCAACCAGTGTTTGCATTTTTAATTTCTAGCTTCGGCTTTGGCTCATTTTCATATTCCAGCAGTGATTTTAACTCCAGCTCTGGAGTCGATGCTAACACTGATCTTAACTATAAAAAAGTTTTGAGAAGAGCTGAATTTAATTTTAAAAATTGTTTGGACCTGATTGAAGAACTTACAATCAAAATCACTGTGAGTGTCCTCAATTGGGTGCTCGGCTGGACTGTCGAAGTTTTGCATCACCGTGTGGTGCTCACCAACACGCACGGGTTCCTGAAACTTGGTTTGTAAGAAACAGAAAAGACTTGACTTTAGAGAGAGCTCAGTACTTATGAAAACCGATAAAGTTTTTCACTATTCTTTTAGTAGCTTACGTATAGCTTCTCAAACTCGGGTACGTAACGACGAATTTCGAGTTCGAAAAAGTTGGCGAAGGATTCGTGAAGGTATTCTAAGCCCCATCGTTTTGCTGTGACTATGTCGCCAAACCTAGAATGAACAACAAACAAATATTGATAATTACAAAATAATGTTACCATTGATGAGACGTTTCATGGGCAATTACTCTCGCTTTGTCGTAAAGTTGAAATAAATCACAGTCTATTAGAGTCTTGGCAGCATTCTCATAAATAATCAGTCCAAAGTTTTCCATTCCTTGAGCGCCCATCAGGATCGTCTCCAAGTGATCTGAAATTGGCAAAAAAAACCATGGGCCCTCTGCCATATTTAATGTAAATTTTAACCTTTAAATGTAAGCCTAACAGTTAAGTTTTACCTAATTTGGGTAGAGGATATTGAACTTTGGTCAAGTTTTCCATAATATCCACAAAGTTGGCCGCTAAGTCTGCTTTCTCTTGAAGATATCCTTCAAAGTTCTTGACTGACAGTGTTCGTATCTTAAATTTTGTAAATATATAAGTGTTTTACTTTTGTCCAAAGGTTTAAAAACTGTTTACTTACATTAACCCCGCTAGCACTTGTCGCCGTAGCGTTTTCAAAGTTTCCAACAGCAAAGGCAAACAAATAAGTCGGCATTTTAATGCTGGTTTTGAAGCCTGTTACTAGTAGGCCGCTAAATAAGACATTGTTATGTATGTACCATTCTTTATTTAAAAAATTTTTTTTTATTTTGTAGCATATTTTAGGCTTGTTCTTGTCTTTTTTAGGTAATAAATTTAAAAATCTTTTTACTCTTCTGTTTCCATTATTCTTTCGACTTCAGAATTAGAGATGACTTGTGAACCGTTTGGATGGCCAATAGCGAGGTTGAATGTCGATTTGAAAAAAGGATCGTCGAAGCAAGGGAACACACTCCGAGCACCGTCTGGCTCTAATAATGTTGCCACCAAGGAGCTAAATGATAATGTTATAGACACAGTCACAGAAAGGATGCGGGTTTTTATATTGTTATAGAAAAAGTAGTTCTTTTTTCTTTACAGGAAATGTTCTGCGGGCAATTCTGGTATAGGGTAGACTTATAACGAGGCCGGGCTCAGTTTTTCAAGATTTTGAAACCCACTTACGTGAAATTATCGTCTAGCTCTCGGTATTCGAAATGATATATGCTCTGACTTAACGCATTACTAATAACACCATTAAACAAAAAAATTAAGTCGCAACTTTCTCCCTTCTCCAAAGTCTTGCCTAACTTGACGATTAAATGATCGTCGGCATTTTTGTAATATTTGTGACTTATTTCGTTTTGGGTGCCATGTTCATAGACAACAGATTGCGAAATGTTAACAGCGGAATTCAACTCAAATTGATCGAGCGACTCAAGAGTTTTTACTGTGATATTTATGCCGCCTTCGAAGGTGTTTAGTTTTTCTGAAACGTAAAATTTATGTTTGAAGTTTTTAAAAATTCGAAAAACTTGATTACAAGTGGCTAGCTAGCCACCTGTGCATTTTTTCCTTCCCGAGACTCTAATGTCACCCACCCAACCTTGATCGTACTCGTGATAGCAAATGAAATTGCACTTTAAGATTAACTTGTTTTTTGGAAACTCGTATCCATAGAAAGCAAAGTAAGGCCTTAGACCTAGAGTGTAGTTCAGTACTTCCACATTGTGTGGCAAGCTGTCATCGGTAATGCCAAACCGCAACTTTCTACTTTGTGTACTTTTAAATGCTGAAATCAGATGTATTAGGTGCCTGCAAAAGTTTTAGGCCAACTTTTGTTTTTAACAAATTTTGATATTAAAAAAAACAACAACAACTAATTAACAAATATATGTAACACTATTATCAACTACCTGTTGCCATTCCTTCAGCATTTGGATTCAACTACTGTAGAAACCTAGGGTTTTAGAATTGAAAAAGTTAGCCCACCATCGTTTGAGGTACTCTTGATTGTCAAAGCGTGTTGCGTTCAGGTGGTTTTGAAGAGAGTGGAACATATTATAATCTTTAAGCGTAACATTAGTGGAGTACAGTGCATATGGCATCACAGTCCAGTCGAGGCTTTTCAGCTTGTATTGGGTTAACGTTGTCACATGGGCGCGAGCAGTATCATGAATGAAGAAGGCCCGGTCCTGTTTACCATGCAATACTGCCGCAACAGAGTTAAATTGTCTACAGTAGACTTCCACAGAGATCGTATTTTCATGTGGTACCATTTCCCAGTACACAATACCTGTTGAGTTCAGCTAACGCTGTTCATCTCCTCCAGTGGGTGAAGATCAGGTTTTGGAGTTAATAACCCTGTTCTCCACGTCCAAGCCGTTGTTTCTTTCTGGTGTGATTAAAATACAGTACTCACTCCTCATCCCCAGTAACCAAATTATCAAGCCATGCAAAGGTTCTTGGGAACATCAACAAATAAGTGCAACTTCCACTTAGCGTCGCAGCTGGTCGCTGTTGAAATCATGTGGAACCTCTTGACCATATTTCCATGATCTTCCAAGGACGTGAAGTCTAGTTAATATGGTAGAAGGATCACACGATCTCTGATCTTGTTCGTTCAGCTTCAGAAGGTGGGGTTTCTTCAACGCTGTTGGTCTATCAGGTCAAGTTTTTCAGACATGTCAAAGTCACCGTTTTTGAACTTGTGGAACCAAACTTTTGTGGTGTCGTAAGAGACAACTGAAGTCCCTACAACACTGCATATTTTCTTTGTTGCTCGCTTTGGGCCCTGTTGTCCGCTCTAACAAAATTGTAAGAACATCCAAGGTTCCTTTAGCTACATCTGCGACACCAACGAAGATCTGGCTATCGGCCAATTCATCTGGGACTTGACTGCCTACGCCCAGTTCAGTCTGGGGCTTCTGAGTCAGACTTCGGTCGATATTCTCACCGCTTTGACTTGTGTCACTCCAGCCGAACGTGAGTACTGTGCCTAAGTGTTCTACTGGTTTGGAGGGCTAATTATCACTACCAACGTCACTCGTATGCTTACCTACACCAACCACCTCTCAGCTGGAGCTTTTACAGCTACTGTTCAGAAGTACTGTCAAGCCGGAAATCTGGAGGCTGGAGGCTTCAATTGGTACAAGTATTCAACCGTGGCCAAAAATATTGCCAGATAAGTCACAGACCTTAAGGCACGTATTTTTAAAGACATTTTTTAACTGAAAGTACAAAGAGAATGTGTTATTTATAATGTCATTATAAACCTAATACAATAGTATATTTACTACGCTAGTTAGAAGGAAATATTAATGTCATTTCTTAATTGCTATAATTGTTTACTGCTTGCTTTCTCAAGGAACCGCACTGTATGTTAGGTAATATATTAAAACTTTAATTAATATACTGCTTAGTGTTATATACGAGGCAAACGTTAAGGTAGTATATACGAATGGAAGCTTAAAGTATGAGTCAGTAAATTGTTATAGTAGAATATAACAGTCTTGGTAAACTTTACTGATGTGTGGCTGTCCTTATTGATTCTACGAGTTTTGTATGTTGAAATTAATGAATATAAGAGTAGGTGGGCCGTTAAAATACTATATGACACTTTTTTGTATACTTCCTGTTTTCGTAAGGGTTTGTTGTATGTGGTAGGTGTAGGTAGGTTAGACTTTGTTATTCTTGTAAATGAATGTTGTAAAATTTAAAATGTGACTTTGCTACTAATAGAATATTAGATTACTTTATGAAAAAAGAACTGAACCAACTGTAATGTAAATTAAAAGCTTTTTTTCAAATTGGCTGATATAAGTCATGTTTATTGATTTTAGTAATTAATATGGATGAATTAACTGGTGGCGAATCAACTTTGGGGCCAAAAATTATAGCTATTGTAGTGTTATTTGTTATCACCTTATTTTACTATGTTATTTTCACTGGTTTTACTGTAGTATATTTTAAAGAACTTCGAAAAAAGGTAAGTTGGAATATATTGGTTTTACAGTAAATTGCTTTATCTCATATACTTGTGGTTAGGATAAGGTCTGCTACCTTTAAAGTTATACCGTTAAGAGTAGATATGAGGGCCCGGCCCGAATTTTTTAAACGTTTTTATTAGTTGCCAACATAAAGGGCCAACCATTTTTTACAGGCAATTACAGGAAAAGTATGGCGGGTTCTTTACGTCGGCAACTAAAAACGGGCCGGGCCGTTTGTAGGTGCTTTCTGGCTCGGCCCGACCTAAATTTGGGATAAGGCCCAACCGACCCGGCCCATTTCTTATGTGTAGCTTTTAGCAGAAGTAAGAAATCTTTTTTGCAGACCGCTTTAAATTCAAACTTAAAATTGCTGCTTTACCATTTGGCCCTTCCAGCATGGTTCGCGATGACGCTAGAGTTGTATCAATTTATTGTTTGTTTTTTAAATAATTATCAATATTTAAAATATTATGATGGTTATAGCTGGATAATCATCGATATGAGTAAGAGTTTTATTGTGATATTTATTAACTATAAAAATTTTTTAATTTTAGTGTATTTTTTAAAACTTTTGTTTGAGTACAATATAATTGTTTTAGTATTATACATTTTATATTTTTTAGCATTATGCAAATTTCTTAATTTCTAACAGCAAAAAGATTATTTTTAGGTCTTCTATGTTTTTCGAATCACTTATTATCCCAAATAGTGGAGCGTTTCGTTGCGACAATGTTGCTTTCACGTTATGAAAAGATTGGTGAACGTTTTCCTTGGATTGCCGTACTAATTATTGTTGCACAGGTGAATGTGAATTTGTTATTTCTTTTTCAATTTTTGTAAAGGTCAAACCTTTTGTGTTTCTTTACTGTAGTACAAATCATTATGCTCTAAGGAACTCATGTCATTAAATATGTTTATGTTACTTATTAAAAACAATATTTTAAAGAATAACAAAAACAGATTCAGACATTTGTAAAAAAAAGACAAAATATAAAAAGTTTTGCTATAATATCTCAGATATGGACAGTTGGGCTTTGGTAGGACTAAAGTCGAACCTTTTTAGTATGGCACTTAAGTTACCTAACAGTTGGATCCTGTATACCTTTAAAACGTAGTAGATGATCAAAAAATAGCAATGAAATAACTCTTAAAACTAAATTTTTTAACGTTTTGTATGTTTTTATTGATAACTAGCTCAATATTGTTATAATATATAAAAAACTAATAATATTACATTTACAGTGGTTATATGCAGCATTAACACTAAAAGTTATGTTGGCTAGAAACATATTGTTTATACGGGTCTTCAGTAGCATCATCGAAATCGTTATTACTATTATAGTAAGTTGCTTCATTTTATATATCCTAAACGTTTTAAAAACTTTAAACTATATATTTTGATATATGAAAGCATGTCGCTAGAAAATGTTATAGTAAAACCAAAAAAATTAAAAAATTTCTTACTAATACGATGATAAGGCCAAATAAATTTAAAAAAAACCAATTTTAGGTATACTTTATGTTGCCCAGTATAAGTCGCAAGAAATACGAACAATATAAACCACAATGTAGTAAAACCTCAACCAACACACGAATACGATCCTCATTATCTCTACGATACCAGACTTCAGAAAATTTAAAAATCGCCAATTTGACTTCCAGAATCATACTGATTCAGATCATCTCCAACTCTCTCACACTCACAATTCATGGCTGTGGGCGACTTTTCGAACCAGACACTTTCGAATGGAATCTGATTATGAAGACGTTACATTGGGTGATATACATAGCAGCTTTCATACAGCAATGTCAAGTTATGCAAGAGATACGAATGAAGAAACACAAAGTGTTACCAAATGCTGTAGTGATACGGTCGGCTGAAGAGGAACGCCAAATTTACTTTGAACAGTACAATCATATTTGGAACAGTTAATATTGTTACGTTTGTTTTTAAATGTATTAGTATAAGTTTGTCTTACATCAATATACAGCCATATAAAAGGACCACCAACCGTCCTCGCACGACGTTGGCCTTTTGTCGCAAAAAACGTCTCAATGTCTTTACCTATATAGGACCGTACTCAAGTTTTTGCAAAGAAAAATTAATATTGAAATAGCCTGATCTTTGACGCAAAACGCCAACGTTTTTAAAGGCCGTTTTGTGGTCTTGAGAGCCATAATTTTTTATTTGTGAAAAATGTAAGTTCTGGTTAATAAAGAAAGATATTTATTGTAATAAGCGTTAACTAACAATGTAAGAGCACCTGCTGGACACTGGTTATAAATTATTTGTTGGTACTAAAGTAAACTTGTATTTTAGTAATACGTGAGTTTTTATTGAAATAAGAAAATTAAAGATAAGAACAAAGTAAACCAACAAAAATAAAAAAACTTATTCTAGAAAACGCCTATTGACTTACTCTAGTCCTTGTTCATAAAGATACAGACTCTTCAAATCGAGACCAGCTACAGTAGCTGACAGAAGGCAGAAGACAATCTTCAATCCCATCGTTCTATAGAAGAAAAACTGAGCGTTGAATTTGTTGTAGGCATGCTTCTGGCTTTTATAATAAAATTCAGTTCAGAAGTTTGCAGAATTATGGAGATCAAATATTCATGTTTGTTAGAATCGGCAAATTTCAGCAAAACTAATCCGATTGTCTGAATTTTTTGTTTCATACTTTGTAGTTTCTTTTTTGTGGTATTTACTAAATGCAGCAGTTATTCATGATAGTTTTTTCCGGTGATTTAAATCATATGTCGTAATTCTTGAGGATTTGAATAATAAGTGTGTAAACGCTAGACTAGCATTATTTGTTAAGTTCAACATTGAGTCAGCTTCACTGATTAGTTGCTAAAAAATTACTTCAAAGACAAAATTAAAAAGGTCTTGGTACATTTAAGACCTATATAGCTATTAGAATAAGAGAAGTATCAGAAAATGATATAAATATTGATAAAATATAAACAGTGTTTAAAGTGTATTTTTGAGAAGGGCTTGGTAATTAAAAAGTGTTTGAAGCGGATGCGATAGCATATTAATTCATTATCAAGAATTAAAAAAAATTATAATGTCAAAGTGTTTGTATAAAAAGGTGTCGCTTAGTAAATGAAAAAGCATTAGCTTTCTTTAAACATGAAGAATGTTATTTTAGTTTTTACAGTATTTTTTATATTGCCTACAGACGGCTTTAGACGTAAGATTTTTTATTTTGTATTATATGATATTGTTCTCTACAGTAAATACAAAAATTTGTTGTTAACGTTACAGTACATATTACGCAGTTTAATAATATATTTTAGCCCTGAAAAGTGACAACTTTAAATCAATAGAGCGATACAGCGATAGTCTGCCTCACAATGTAAAAGTACTAGGTTACTACGTGGTTTTAGAGCCGTTTTTTGCTTTCAGTGGATACGAGTTTCCAAAAGGCGAGTTTAACAACAATTTAGATTTTTTTTTATTTAAAATTTATTTTTTTTGTTTTTTCAATTTTTTACACTATTATTTGTTTGTAAGTTTGTTCATAGGTCTTAATTAGTCATGAGAAACAGATCGTGTAGGCCCAGACAGACCCGAAAATCGTGCCGGGGCGTCTTTCAGCTAGAGTTGCAACGGGCCATCCTCAAAAAAAAGTTTAAATTTTTTTTTCAGAGTTTTATTTTTGATTTTTTTGGATCAAAAAATAAATGATCTACAAAACATCTGTAAAAACAAGTTCTGAAGTTTTGTAAAACGAGCTACGCCAAGCCAGGTCTAAAATTTAAAAATTTTTGTTTGATCGGGCCGAGTTGACCTGATAAGAGATAAAAATAAAAACGGGCCGGACCTAAACTTTGAACCTTGAGCCCGCACTTCAAAAATAAGCTCTGCCCGGCTTGTTCCCTATTTCTAGCCCTAATTTAAGACTTTTAATAATTCCTGTTTAAGAAAAACTAAACACATTCGACGGTATGGTACAAGTAGCTTTCAACATTACGGAGCCACTCACTCAAATTGAATTGGCTTCTGCAGTTACAATTACAAAATCGACCTTGGTAGACTATCAAACAAAACAAGAATTAAATCACACTTGTGTTAAATCTAGCTCGAGTCACCTTATTGTAAAAGTGGAGAAAACCTTGAAGGTGGGAGAGATTTACACCTTAGAATTTGAATTTAATAGAGCGTTGGGAAGTACTGAATTTCCTGGATTTTATCATTACGACTACACAGATCGGGATGGCAAATCAACGTAAGTACACTTGGCTAGTCTTTTTGTTAGACTAGTTTTAAGCTTGTGTCAAGCTAGTCCTTATCTTTTGTCAATATAAGCGTGTTTTAAATAATATTGTTAAAGTCTTTATCATTTACAAGTACTTTATCACAAATTTTATTAACGATTTAGTTCTTTGATTGCAACAGCATTAGAGCCAATTCTTGCTCGGACAGTGTTTCCTTGCTTCGATGATCCGTATATGAAATCAGTATTTGTAGTAAATGTCATTCATCCAAAGGGTTCTCAAGCTGTTTCCAATGCTGAAGTTGACAAAGTTGTCAAGATGAAAGAGTAAAAAGTTTTTTATGGATATTATTATATAAATATAAGCAACCTTTAGATATTAGAACAAATATTTTTTATTTAAAAAATCGCAAGGAAAAATTAAAAAAGTACCATTTAAAGAGGTTAGTAGTATAGACCTATAAAGAAGTCAAGCTGGGCCCAATTTTTGCCCCAAGGTTTTGTTTCTAGCAAGTTTGCTTTGGAACGGCTCAGTTCCTTTAAAGTTTTCTAGCCGGATGTTGTGCATAGTGGGCCCGTTTAAAGTCTAGTTAATAAGATCTATATAATAAAACATTTGTAAGTCTATATAATAAGTAATTAAGTAGTGTTTAGCGGTCGTCTTGCCACTCAATTTAAAACCAGCATTAAAATGTCAACGTACTTGTGTGCAATTGCGATAGGGGACTTTGCTAATGCTACTGCTAAAACTTCTCGTGGAGTTAATGTACGTATTTGCTGTAATAACAAAAGTAATAACATCAAAAAGTTTTACCAAGAAATTGAGTTAAAATAAAAAAAAGAAAATTTAAGATACAAACACTGTCGATCAACGAAAATGAAGGATTTCTTCAAGAAAGCGCCGATTTGGCCGCCGAAATTGTGGACATAATGGAAAACTTAACGAAAGTTCAATATCCTCTACCAAAATTAGGTAACTTTGTAGTTCTCCAATACTTTTCGTTCAAGTAATTCTGTGCCCCCTAAGGAATGAGAGTAAAATATGGATCAGATAATATTAGGCTGTTCAAATAGTTCTATGCTCCCTACCTTCAAAAAATTGCTTTGAAAGGGGGCACATAATTATTTGAAAAACCTTATACAATACACATTTTGGAATCATAACAAGCCCTCTCTTCTTAAAAATTACTTTTTGGAATTAAAATTTGTTTAAACTTTCCTTTTATGTAGATCATTTGGAAACAATTCGTATGGCCGGTAGTGGCATAGAAAACTTTGGATTAATTGTTTATGATCAGGCTGTAACCTCTCAAATAGATAGAGATGTGTTCCAGGAATATGAGGAGGCCAAGGTGACCGCTCATGAAACTTCTCATCAATGGTGAGGTTTATATAAATCTTTGAATTTAGGTTACAGTAGAACTCTTGTATTAGATGCCGACATAAAGAATCCGCCATTTTATACAAGAAATTACAGCAAAAGGATGGCGGGTTCTTTGTGTCGGTACATGGGTTCTACTCTTTTTAAAGCATACTTTTCCAATATACCAAACCAAGACAATAATTTCAACCTAATCATTGCAGGTTTGGCGATTTAGTAACTGGAAAACGGTGGGGATTGGTATATCTTCATGAATCTTTTGCCACCTTTTTCCAGTACGAAATTCGTCGTTACATTCCAAAGTTCGAGAAGCTTTACGTAAGTTTTAAAACTTAAAAATACATACAGTAGAGGTTCTGTATAAGGAGCTCCCCTATAACACAACTTCTGTATAACGAACAAAGGTTAAATCCTTTTCGACTTCCACACAGTGCATTTAAAACTCTTTGTACCGTAACTCCTTTATATATTTTTTTGAATTCTTGAGCAGTTCGTTATACATGAGTCCTACTGTTATTTATGAAGAATTTTTACTAGAGCCATCTTTTTTACTAAGCTATACATATAAAACTTTACATTTTGTAAATTTATCTTATATTCGAACATTTCAGGACCATTTTAGAGTGTCAGAGTATTCAAGAGTAGTTGCTCTCCCTACGCCCCACCCAATTGAAAGCGATGATGCGGTTTTTGATCGTAAGTCTCTTGCCTTCACCAAAACATTTTTTGAAACATTTTGCTTTCCCCAGCCTAAAAAACTAATTACTTGTTTTAGCTGTAATATACCATACAGGCGGCATGTTCATTCAAAGTCTGAAGCAGTTACTGGGCGAAGAAATATTTTACAGAGCATTAAACATCTACCTCAACAAATTCTACCTTGGAAATGCTGATACGTACGATCTTGGTCTCAGTTTTGAAGAGGTAACAACAAAAATCCGGTTAAAAATACAGTATTAGAGACATCTTTACAAAATTTTTTAATTATTTTTAGGCCGGAGCTGCCCCGTTTAAGGGAAAAAATTTTACGACTGATTACATAGTACCGTACATTCAAAAAACCGGCTTACCCACAGTAGGAATAAGTGAATTGAACAAGAAATTCATGGTATATCAAGAAAATACTCACAGTGGCAACATAAGGTTAGTACCAATCCATTATGTCAACTTGGATACATTGGAAGAGTCTCGCATCGATCTTCCTAATGACAACCCTGATTTCATATACGTTTTTCCCAACAACAATACATATCTTCTGAACCCGGATCAACAAGCTTTTGCTGTAATAACAAAAGATGCTGCTGTTAAATCAAGAGTTGCAACTCATAAAAATGTGCCAAAACTATCGATCAGTCGACAGATGACAGTGCTGGTTGAGTATGTTGAAGACAATACTTTTTTTGAGTTTATTACCAACATTATAGACTACAATAATGGAGTATTGCCTGCCGAGTTTGAAGATGTTATTGTAAGTAAATTTTTATAACATAATTTATGTTACTAAAAATTATTTTTAAAGGACCTGTAAACCCCCGAAAAATCCCTGTTTGAAATATCGCCATGAACCTGGCATTACGTCTTATCGTGGCAGGACCAAAAGGAAATTCTCACGTAAAATATTTTCAGAAGTTTTTTTCATGAATAATATTTTAATTAATCTCCTTGATTTCACTAGAAATTGCTGTTATAACTATTGTCTATGTGTTGTAAAATGCTATTGCTGGCTCGAGTTTTCCAGGTTTTATCCGAATTTACACTTTTATGTTATTATAGTGTATTTTCCGGTAACGTTTTGAGAACTTTGGCCAGATTCAAGTTAGAACAACTTTAAAAGTTGATTGGTAAGTATTTTTTATAAGATTTATGTTGTTTTAAATGAATAATCAATTTTTAGACTCCCACCATTAAGTTTCAACTGTTTTGATGCGGTTTCGCACTTCGATGTTGTTATAGCGCAATGTCGAGCTGAAAGATGAAAGCTTGGGCCGTTTTTGGACTTAAAAACTTACAGAATGGCTGGAGAAGATGTTAAAAGACGTGTTTAAACTTTTGCAACAATTCTGGTTCAATAAAAAGGCTACGGAAGGATTTGTGACGGATCCAAGCTAAAACAAGGTCAGCAAGCGATTTGTAAGTGTTTTATTGAAATTTTTGTTGTTTTAGGTATGAAATTGGCTAGTTTAACTAATGTATAACGTGTCATAGACTCTCGGCAATTTTAGTGTCAGAAACACTGCCCAATTCTCAGTTGTTACCTAAAAATGCTGCATCAACTCAATATTCTGGTAAAGACAGACGGAACTTAATTGGAAGAGGACAAGCACTTGTGAATTTAATCTTAGTTAGCCAATTTCTACCTAAAACATCAAAAATGGACATAAAAAACTTACGAATCGCTTGTTGACATTGTTTTAGTTGGGATCTGGCAGAAATCCTTCCTTAGCCTGCTTTTTGAACCAGAATCGTCCGCAAAAGTTTAAAAACATTTTTTAACATCTTCTCCAGCCATTTTGTAAGTTTTCAAGTCCAAAAATGGTCCAAGCTTCATCTTTTAGCTCGACATTGCGCTATAACAAAATCGAATTGCGAAATTAAATCAAAACAGTTGAAACTTAATGGTGAGTCTCTAAAAATAGGTTATTTATCTAAAACAACGCATATTATAAAAAATACTTACCAATCAACTTTTAAAGTTGTTTTAACTTGAATCTGGCCAAAGTTAAATTAAACGTTACCGGAAAATACACTATAATAACATAAAAGTGTAAATTCGGATAAAACCTGGAAAAATCGAGCCAGCAATAGCATTTTACAACACATAGACAATAGTTATAACAGCAATTTCTAGTGAAATCAAGGAGATTAATTAAAATATTATCGATGAAAAAAATTTCTGAAAATATTTTACGCGAGAATTTCCATTTGGTCCCGCCACGATAAGACATAATGCCAGGTTCATGGCGATTTTTCAAACGCTATCTTTACAGGTCCTTTAATTATTAAGTTGTTCAAAAAATATTGTGCCTGAACCCAAAAATTTGCATTGAGATGGGGCACATAATTATTTAAATCATCTAATATTTGCTTACAATTAAGAGAACATAAAATACAAAACACTGCCAATAACAAATCCCAGCATGCCCCCAACTATCATAGAAAGCTCTATGATAGTTAAAGATAGAACCCATGAAGATCACAAGTTTTTAGTCGATTTCCGCCAAAGGATTAAGGATCACAAATATGCACAGTTCATGCAGCCTGAGCTATCCAGACTAAACCAAGTCTTGAATTAACTTTTCTTCAATAATACTCTCAATCTTACACAAAGAATAGTAAATTTGGAAAACTATTTTTTAATTTTTAAATCTATCTTAAGCTTAAAAATCAATAATTTCACAAGCTTTGATAACTCACAGATAAATCATAAAGTAACTAAACCTTCTAATAAAGTAAATTTATCATAGTTATTAAGCTATACAAAACTAAAGCAGTAAAACAGTCCAAAACTATTCGTAATCAGCGTTGATGTCGTCGATGACCTTGTTGTAGACCATCTCGGTAGCATTCAATCCCCACAAGAAGTCCATGTGACTGAATCCAGGGTATCTGTTGTCTTCTTGGAGAACTCCTGGAGCCAAGTTTGGCAGGATGTCATCTTCCAATTGCACCAGAGTGGTCAAGTAGTCCTCAGGGGTACTGTAGAGGTACAATGGCACTTCCATTTTGGTCAAGTTGTAGTATGGTGGTTCTTCCTACAAACATATATTAACCTTGTTCATAAAACTTACTTGGCCATATCTCGCAATATTTTCGGCCGCGGTTGGGTATTTGTACCATTTGAAGCCTCCAGTCTCGAGGTTTCCAGATTGACAGTACTTCTGAACAGTAGCGGTCGAAGCTCCAGCTGGAATGTGGTTGGTGTAGATGGGCATGACGTTGGTGGTGGTACTTGGTCCACCGAACCAGTAGAACACTTGAGCACAGTACTCACGTTCGGCTGGGGTGACACAAGTCAAGGCGGTGAGAATATCGAATGAAGTCTGACTCAGAAGCCCCAGACTGAACTGAGCGTAGGCAGTCAAGTCACAGATGGACTGGCCAATAGCTAGGTCTTCGTTGGTGTCGCAGATGTAGCTGAAGGACCTTGGATGTCCTTGAAGCGGACAGCGGGGCCCAAGGCGAAGTACTTCTTGATTCTTTCTACGAACTCTGGTTGATCAGACAGCTTGGCAAACATGGTGTAGGTGCCTTGACTGTGGCCAATGTAATAGAACTGGGACTGGCCAGTGATGTTCTCGATTAGGTCGAAGACAGCTGGGAAGTCGTATACTTGCATGCCGTCGCTAGTGTAATGTCAGAAGCCAGACTCGAACCTGTTGTAGTACTTGTTCTTGGCATAAGTGTTTCCTCGAGAGTTTGGCATCCAGACATCGTAGCCAGCATCAGCGAAGACAAATCCTGGACTTTGGTGAGGCAAGTTGAGGAGGAAGTTGTCGCTAGCACACTCCAGACCGTGCTGTAGAATGACTACAGGCTTGTTTGGGTTGCTTCCGGTTTCGTTGATTCCGCGAGGGATACGGTGAATTGGAAGAAGCCAGCCGTCTTCTGTTTCGGCAATATATTCTTCGCCTTCGTAGCCCCAGTACTCGATCAGACCCATCTACAATTGGTCATATCTTCTCTATATTTACTTACCGCATCTAGTCCTTGTTCAGGAAGATACAGACTCTTCAAGTCGAGACCGGCTACAGTAGCTGCCAGAAGGCAGAAGACAATCTTCAAACCCATAGTTCTGTAGAAGAACACTGAGTGTTGATGTTGTTGTAGACATTCTTCTGGCTTTTATACAAAAGTTCAGTTCAGAAGTTTAAAGAATTATAAAAATTAAATATTCATATTTATTAAAAACGGCAACTTTAAGTAAAACTAATCCGATTGTCTGACTTTTTTTGTTTCAAACCTTGTAGTTGCCCTTTTGTTGTATTTACTAAATGCAACAGTTATTCATGGTTGTTCTTTCCGAGGATTTGAATTATAATTCTGTCAAATGCTAGACTTGTATTCTTTGTACGTTTGTGTCGCATTACCATATCCATTCTGTCCTCATATATACTTTTTGATATCAAACAGTTTAAAAAGTATGGAAAATTTTTAAAAATTTAATAAAAAAATAAAAACAGATTTAAATTTCAAAAATACAGCGACATTGCGCCAATTTAGCTTGTGCAGCTCAAATTTCAAAAAGAAATTGATTTACCTGGCCGCTTAACCTCGATGGTAATGGCACTTAAGACGGCTTAAAGCACTCGCCTTGTATTACAAAGTGCTTTCAGATTTACCGCAGCTATCGTATGTTTTTACATTCTTTAACACAACTTTTCAAGTACGTACCTTTTTTAATTATTAGGTTGTTCAATTAATTCTGTACCTCTTAATCCCAAAATTTTGCTTTGGGAACAGAATTATTTTAACAACCTAATATTTATTTAACAACCTAATAATTTGAGTTTTTTGTCATTTGTATGTTGTTGCCATTATTAATTTGATTATACCTAAAACCCGCACATTCCTCCCTACTCATACCAGGAACCTATCACAACCCTTCAGAATTACATCACCGCCAACTCAAGAACGTATACATGACCTTGATGACAGTCTTAAGTGTCTGCACGGTTATTTGATCGGCTTTCGATTGGATTATAAACATAGCGGGGGAATTAATTGACTCTGATATTGTTTTATGCGATCACTTCCGACCGTAAACGAGATTCGTCGGTTTTTATGCATGAGAACCGCGATATTAAGCACTTGATCAATGGGGTATGGCGAGAGGAACTTGCGTTTCTTGATTATGAATGTTGATTGAGTGAGGCTGTGACTTGGAAAACAAAAGACATAGAACTGTATGTTACACTAATTACAGTATGTCTCGAATTATGGCCTGATAAGCCATTACAAGTAACATTAATCTCCTGTAAAACCAAGAAAACATATGTTAGCCCTACTTTAAGCTTTCTCTCTAACACTGCACTCCAAACAGACGCCAAATTCTCACACAAAGCCTCACACACATCCATCAATATGTAAACATTGCCATTCTTCACCTTAAATCCACTTGATCAACTCTCGAGCTTGCGCAACACAAGCCTAATCCCGAGTATATCAAAGCCGAGCGCACTCTCGACGTCCGGTCAGAATATGGTGTCCTACGAAAACATCTTACAAGCGGCGACCACAAAAGCGAGGGATAAGACTAATCGGACATACGAACTTGTTATACGACGCAACAAGTTTACACTCTCCGACAGGTGGCCGGATTCGGTATCAAAAAGAACAACTGACCTAGTGTAATATAGAGATTGTAGGTTCCGATACGGTGGTTGGTATGTAATTGTTGTTTTTGATGATTCTTTGATTTGAGATTTTGATAGTAATCATCTTGAATTGAAGAAAAATTATATTTTCATGTTTTTATATTGATTTGAAGCTTTCAACGTAGTTATATGAAGGTTTTTAACCTAATAAAGGCTGATAATTGAAGCCAAAATCCTCAAGAATACTTTCAGTGCCATCTTCCTAACCTCTAACGTATCATACACTACCGTAATTTCCACTTTTAACAACTCTAACCCAGTTTCGTACTCATTACCGTTTCAAATAAACCAAGACCACCCAACCAGCTTAATTACTCGATCTGACAACATAAACTCCTATTGACAAAAAATATTTATTGAGCGTAAACCCAGTAGTAAACTCGGTTTTGCCGCAAAAACGCTGAAGCACACTTAACGGAGACGATTCGGTTACAGAAAAAAACATTGCCGACAAAGTTTCTGCGATTTATGGGTATCGTTAATTAGAACGTTATGCAAACACAGATTAAACTTTGTTTTACGCTTTGATCTACAAGTAGCTTGTTGATTTAGTCTTTCTGGTTTGTAATAAAGCTAGAAATTAGGAGTTTTGATCTGTTTTTACCTGCTATCGATAAAAATTTTCAAAAACTACGTTTCTCTCTCAAAAAAGGTAACAATCGCATCGTTTTTGCTATAACTTGGTTTAAACACAATTTTAAAACGTGAAAATTTCTAAACTCATAGATTATTCATTCCTTCAGCTAACAAAACAACAAAACTTTTAAAATTTGGTAATTTTAGCCAAAAAAAGTAAAATTTACGAAACAAATATACTTTAAAAAGCAGGGTAAGGTAAAATTTGCCGTAAGTTTGAAATATCAATCGAAATAAGAAAGCTTTTAATAAAAATAGTTGAAGAAATGAAAAATCTATAATCTTGCAAAAATTCAGATTTATCCCTATATTCTGAAGAAAGTTGTGACCAAAACCATGATGTTACCTCTTCGAAACGTCAAGCCTAAAACAATAACAAAAAGGAAAAAAACTTACTGCAAATTGAATCCAAAGCAAAATCAACGTATTTTCAATGAGGTAGATCTTCTGGATTATCACTTAAAATCTGTGGCCGAAAAGAATGAATTATTTGTTGCGAAGTGTCACAGTTACACCTAATGCCACAAAATTATCAGTTTTTTCATAAAATTTTGTTTTGTCGATGTTGTGCTTGCTTTTTTGTTTTTCATAGTGTTTCTTACAGTTTATTATGTTACTTATCTTGTTTTAAAGTTGAAAAGCTCTTTTTGTTGAATAACCTTCGACTGGTCGATTTATTGTTTGTGTTTCCAAGTCTCCCGGGTCCAATTAACGGCAATAAACGAAGAAAGAAGTCGTCTTCAAATTGCTTTCTTCGGGGTTTTATTAGTTTCAGGGTTTAATGAGCTTCAAATTTAAATACACTGCGATAATCACATATATTTGAACATGGTCTTTGTAGTATAGGATATGAAACGTCAATATTTTATGGTTTAATTTACAGGTGGAGAGAAAAAGGTTTTAAAAGAGTTGTTTTAGGTAACAACGTCTTGAAAAACGTGTATTTTAGGTTTTAGAGGGAAGTAACTTGATTTTGAAGGTTACAATGTTATGTTATTAATAGTAGAAGGCTTAAATTTCAGAAAAAATTTTTAGGTAACAATTTTTTTGTTTGAAATTTTTTTAAATATATTATTTCAGGGTTAAAAATGATTGTTTGGCATTTCACTGTTACTGGTAGCACTCAAAGCTTCAAAGTTAATAAAAAATTAATAATTTCAATCTTTAGGTAACAACTAATAAATACCTATCCAAATCAACTTAAACTGTGCTTTATTTTTGTCACCATACATTAAGGCTCTAGTTATTAACAATATAAATACAATTTCGAACTAATACTGTAAGACCATGTACAATACGTTGGGAGAATTGCGAGAAATTAGCATAAAACAGAACAAGGCTGAGGATCATTGGGATTGTGGAACATTTTTGTGATACAGACTTTACACATGCGATTTAATAAGCCTAGAAGTTTGGGTAATAGATGGGCATGGTAAATTGGGGGCAAAAATGCTTTACCATGCTATATAAATTAACACAATTGGGGAATCCATTAGTTTTTTCGTTTTTTTGAATAATTTTATCTGTTGTTTGAAAAAACGAAAAAATTAATGGATCAGTGATTTGTACGCATGCACAACACATTAATCTAAGCGGAAAGCAGATCCGTCATTTTAAAGCTGGATTTCTTGGCGTTGGCCGAGAACGTGGGACTAGGGCTTTCTGTGGTCGGTTCTGGCGTTGGACTAGACGAAAAAGACTTGGATTCAAGCTTTGGTAGCTTCACATCGTCCTCAAGGTTCTCGGATTCTGGTCTGGTTGAGTCTGGCTCTTCTTTGACTTCAGAAGATCCGGAACGTTCCAGAAGATTAGCGAACAGTGAGTTCTCTGACCGTTCCGAAGTCTCGAACGAGAATGGATTTGATACATTGTGGTTTGGTGATGGTTTACTGTCTTCTGAAGTCTTTGAGGTGTTGGAAGTTTTTTCTTCCGTTATTTTGTTGTCTTCTGAAGCCTTATCATCAGCTGTTTCTCTGTTTTCCGTGTCCAAATTTGCGTTGTTCTCAACGTTCTGTGATGATGTCGCTTCGTCCTTACTCTTCTTCATGCTTTCCAAATTTTGTTGTTGAACCAGTTTCGCGGCCAACGCGGCGGCGAACGGATTTAGGCCATTCCGGAGGAGCTGCGAGTTCATGAACATGGCCAACATTTCAGGATTGGGCGGCGGGAAGACGCCGTTTCCCTGCGGGCTTCCGGGAAACGGCGGATAGCACGGCATGGGCAGGCCAAACGACGGAAACCCGAAAGGCATACCGCCTTTTCGGCCGCCTGCCATCGCCGGGAAAGGTAAATGTCGCAACGGCATGAAGGGATTATCCTGTCGTTGGGTGTTCAGCGACGCGGACTGACCGGTTTCCTACAAGCGATTTGGCTTATTAAGGCGTGGAAAATTAATTTTTGGTTACGGTAAGGAAGAGTGGTTTGAATTTTAGGAGGAAATAAGGTTCTGAAGCTCAAAACGAATAGTTTTGAAGCCTAAAATGGCATAAAAATGGCAAAGCTAATATTTTTAATTCAAAAAGTCAATTAAGAAATTCTAGAAAAGACAGTAAAAAACTTACAGTAGGACTGCTAAACATTTTGTCATTGCACGAAGGTGATTTTGAGCTTCCAGAGTGATTCAGATCGTTACTCGATGAACTTCTTGGCCTCTTTGATGTTGGCTCATCATCGTCGCTGTCAGGATCTAATCTGAATCCTGGGTTTGGAGAGTAGCCTGAAGTGGAGCCGGATTCATTTAGATGTCGCTTCTTTTCTCGTCGTCCAGCTCCTGTGTCTCTGAAGCCTTTGGCGAACGGATTGTGGTCGATTTTTAGTTGGGTTACCTAAAACATTTTGGTTATGTTTATCGTTTTTATGCTTTGTTTTGGGTAGTGTAAGGTAATTTTTGTGATTTTTAGACTTTGAGATTGTATTGAACTAGACTTTTTATACTAGAATGAACCAGGGACCCTATAGAAAGCTTTTATGACAGAAAAAGCTAGATATTATAGTAGACATAAATATACTGTTGTGATCTTGTAGTAGGTGTTTCTAAATACTCACTGTTCCATGTTAAGCCATACAACACTATCAAATTTTAAACCCAGCTTCTGTTTCCTCTAAAAACGTCAAAAATCGTCTAATCTAACACTTTGTACTGTAGGCCCGCTTCTATTTGCGTATCTTCTTTCTTCTTCTTCTCGGTTCCGCTAATCCTTACACCCTGATAATGGAATGATAAGCGGCGGCTACATCAAAAACGCTTCTACCGAAAAGAAGTTTAATATGAAAAGGCAAGACCTAATCCGATACTCAAATGCTAGCCGAGAAATGAGAGGCTTGTGACCGTTTGTTGGTGTTATGATTTGTAGTGATATGTACTTTGTTATAGGATCTTTTGATATAGACATAAGATCCTATACAAAATGTTGCATCGTGTTATTGAGATTTTAAGGCAAGATATAGTGATACAATTGTAAAAAGAATGAAAATAGGTATCAAACTCATGTTAATATTGACTAGTTTGAAGTGAAAATAAGGTAAAATACGTTGTAAGAACTTTTCTTTATGCTATTCAAATCCTGTTTCCAAGTACCACAATCTTTTGTCTATGTAAAGGATATCATGTTGGCCTTCTGTTGCACTATATAATCGACAAATGTTCGAAACAGCTATGCAAATAAACACAAAACGCCCGGTTTTATTGCCCCGATAAAATATGTTGCTTTACATGAGCGACAAGTGTTGTTATACGATCTCACACAAGGGTTATGAGCTTGATACACAAAGATTGGCTTATGTTATAGTAGATTTGTTATTGTCTTTGAGAGAGTTGATAAATTTGGCTTTGAAATTCAGTTTCAAGAGAAAGAGTTGAAAGTTTTCTTTAGCCTAAAAAATACAGTAACCTAAGACATTTTAGAAACGTTATGTATGTAAATAGTAGTCAAGACACCTAACTTAATATAGCAAACACAATTTTTTAAAATTATGTCGCAAAACTCGTAAATTTTAAGACCAACCTACCCAAAAACATAATTTTTTAAAATTCACCGTTCTACCGGTCGAAAACTCACTTTTTCGTTCTGATACGCAGTGACGGCGATGAACACGGTTTCGGGGAATGTAAAAGTCTTCCACATGGTAACTTTGAGCTGTTCCATGCTGTTACACCGGGCAATATGGACACGTGGTTGGTACTTGTGCATCGAGTTGAGGACGGTCTGAAAATCCTTTGCTATTATTGTAATTTACTCTGTATGGCTTCGTGGTATCTTGATTTTGGATTTTGTATTGTAGTTTTAAGGTTTTTTACTTTTTATGGCTGTACTGTAGGTCATAGGGCAGGTTTAATGGGCTAAAAGGCTCAATAGGGTAATTTGCTTCACTATAATATTACTTTTTTACTCTTTTGCTAAGCTTACTGTAATTTTCTTGCTAATAAAGTAATGTTTTTCCAGTATCGTACATTCCCTTTGTTGTCTACCTTCTCACCTCACCCATCCCATGTTTACCCCCTAATCACCCGCAATTTGTATGTGTTTTCCATCACTTAACCCAAGCCAAGCATATCACTCCATTGTCATACGGTAACATGATGAATATCCCGTTGTCTTGGCCCGAGTTAATTTATCAATTAACACGTTTAATATCGGTTTATTTACTATTTTTCTTGTTCCTACACCACTAATTTTTCAAGGCCCAATCAAACAGCTGACACCACATTTTTCGCCTTTTGTTTGGAAGCGATTCCTCAAATTTTTGAATCGAAAATTGCTTCGACAAGATTTAGTGGGCACTTTGAAAGGCGAGGCCAATAAAGACATAGTTGAAAATGGGGCCGATTTCAAAGTTTGAATGTTACAGTAGGGCTTTAAGGCAAAATAGAGCCAATTTCAAACTGTGTATGTTACAGTAGGGCTTTAAGATCTAAAAATGATCCAGTATGCAGCCTGGGGTGGGTGTGTAGTAAAATACAGATCAGTATACCTAACAATTTAATAAGGTTACTGTACTAAAGTTTTTTTCTTAAAATGTTTTAAAAAACCCATGCTTATACCATACCCATAAATTCAAAATCTTGCCTCAACTTTCGCCACAATTGCTAAACTCTCCACCTGCCCGATCCTCTATTGCGTAAGCTAACAAAATACCACCGCTTTATTTTCTAACCGCGCAGTAACCTTTCCGCCATTTAATAACAGACCACGAACATATTGCCGGATTAATTTACATAAAACAGCGCACGGTAAGGTTTGTCTATAAGTGCGTAATTTTATCGTATGTAGATCTTAAATAGCCATACAAGCATACGTAGTAGCAGATCTATAATGACAACAGAGGTATACGTACTAGCAATCTTAAACGAATATACATGACAATAAAAAATCTTTTTTGTTATTTAGTTGTTCAAGTAATTCTGTGCCCTCTTTAAAAGCAAAATAATGTTTTTTTAAATGCTTAATTGCCAAAGTTTTACAAAAGTCTTGTCGTTTCTTAAGAAGCAAGGACACATAGAATAACGAAAAGACTTATGTGGAACCTTAACATAAATATATACTTCCTTATAAGAATGTAAAACCATTTTTGAAACATTAAATCAGCGGAGATTTCAAAAAATTTCTAAAAATAAATTGCTTCTCACACCTGGCGACAATTCGTCGGAAAAGCGTTGAAAATAAAGCGAAATTATCGTAATCCCATGAGAATTCGGCTGTCAAAGACTTCAAAATTGACCTTTCTGTAAAAGCTTTAAATTTGGCTAAGATGATAGCTAAGAAATTTTGTTTTAATAGGCTTAAAGGGCTTTAAATTAGCTATAAGATAGCATAGTTTTAAATTTTTAAGTTTGTATAAAAGAAAGTTACAGTACTTTAAAATTAGGTGCTTGTTGATTATTTTTAAAATTTCGTTGTTGGTGGTAAACGCCACTTCATAATAAAACCTTATTAAAAATATTAAATTTTTGTAGTCATTTGCTCAAGTTTAGCCTGCGATCATTAGTGTTGGTTCAAGTTGATGTTTTTTTCAAATTGAATTTGGCGCCAAAAGTGTTTGGGCCCACTTGAGTTGGCCATTACACGATTAATTGACAGTTCAATTTATTGCGCAATCAACGGGTTTAAGTGTTTATAAATTCGAATGTTACTGTGGTTTTTGCTTTTTTAAAAATTTTTCAAAAAAAAATTTTAAATTCCAATATTTTTCAATTCAAAAAATTTAAAAAAAATTAAAAAGTTAAAAAAATGAAAAAAATCCTTTTTTTAGTCTTGAAAAAAAAAGAATGGCATATTTTGCAAAATTGTGGCTTTTTGATCAATACGCGCCATTCTTTTTGCATCAAAAGAAAACTTTTTCAAATTTTGATATTTGAGGTTTATATTAGGTTGTTCAAATAATTATGGGAACGATCAGTAGGTTCTCTCTCAAAACCTTTAAACTTTCCTAAAAGTACAAGTAATCCTCGCGGATTTGAACTTTTTGAGCCCTAAAATCGATCGAAATAAATTACTGCACTTGTAAATTGCTTTCGCGCAAGGATTTGTTGCCAAATTCCGCGCGATTTGTCACGGAATCAACGTTTTTTGCGACTAAATTAAGGGTCACTAAGAGTTTGAATTTTTTGAAAACTAAACTTTTCGCCGATTTTTTTATTTGAATTTTGTTACTTTAGAAAATGCGTTTTTTTTCGAGGTTAATCTGGTGTTGAGTTAGTTTCAAGTGTTTTGGGGTTTGAAGTGCGATTACCGTAAAAGGTAATTGGTTGGTAGGCTTTGGAGGAAAGTTTGGTACTATAAAATGCATTTTTGTATCAAGAAGGCTCAACCTTGGTACTAAAGCGACCAGCATGAGATTAAGAGTGGTACCATGAAATTATTTTTAATACTAAAAAGCTCAGTATGGTCCTGTAAGGTTAAATTTGGTATTATAACATTAATTGTGGTGCCAAGAAGGGATAGTTCTAGTACCAAAAAATACGGTATAATACTGTAAAATATTTTTATGTTTGTTACTTTAAAATGAGTTTCGGAACCAAGAAAAGTCACTTTTGGTACTAAAAAGCTCAGTATGGTACTGCAAGATTAAGTTTGGTGCCTATGTACCCCCAAATCATGCCTTCCCAACCCCCTACTCTTCTGTAAACAAAGTTTCCTCAACAAATTTCGGTGGCCAAATATTGCGCATGCTCGCCAAAGTTTAGTGTTAGATTGGTACCGACACTCGCGAGTATTTACTTACAACTCGAGTGCTGCCGCTTGTTGCGCAACATACGAAATTTGTTCTAGGCCCGCTTCGTTTAAGCCTAATGTTTGAGTAATGATAAATGTTTGGTGTGGGGATCCGATTTCATGGGCACTCGAGCGATCTGGGGACATGATCAAGTGCTAATCGAGGTGAATTTAAGCGCGGGTTAAGCCGGCTACTTAGCGGAGCTTACTGTATTGGAAGGGTATGATAAAAAAATAGTTTTGTTAAAATTACAGTAACAAAAAAATTGGAGTTTTTAAAATTAACTTGTAACACCAGAATACATCGTATTTTACAAAAAAAACCCCAAAAATTAAAAAAAAATTTTTTTGGCTAAAATATGACAGCCCACTTGTGGCCCTCCTACCGTAACCCTTGTTTTCACTCTCTAATTTGATTTGGGCCGCGAAATTGAAAAACGGTATTGTGTGTTATTTGAGACGATAGTAATTATTACTCCGACCGTTTAATTTTGCCCTTTTGTTTTGTCGCCAAAACGAAAATTGAGTTAAACAGGTCATTTTGGGTCGAAAAAAGGGTACTATTGAATCAAAAGAGAAAAGGGGGGGGGGAGGTGTACAATCGGAATGTGATGACTAAAGTTTTAAAAAATGGCTTAAACTTTAAAATTATAGATAAAATTTGACAAAATGCTATTACAGTCACATCTCTTTAGTATGACACTCAAGGGCCAATGTGATTGACCAATATTCCGTAATAAGCAAGGTGTTGTTCCACTAGTCAAAGCAAGTTTAAATTTTTTTTGAGTTGTCACGTTTTAAGCCTTATAACTTCACTTTTAGCCACTTTTAGGCTTGAAAAACTAAACTTAAAGCAACTAAATCAACCTTGATGACATTAAAAACCCTAATCATTAAAAGACAATTAATACGTATTACCCTATCACTATTTGCGATACGATATGGTAAGCGTAAACCCATTATAAGTCTCTCTATGTTTGCACTGGCTACTTACTTTTTTATCAGGAACTAGAGGCTACTGAAGATATTGTAATAGACCAAATTTAAAAAAGACCAAAGTTTTGTATTTTTTTTTAATTTTGAAAATTAAAAAATAAATTTGCATTTACTCTCCTTATACTATCATATTCAACTCTTTCTTTGTTTTGTGCTACTTCCATTTTTATCACCGTGAAAGTTCATAAACCCCCCTTCAGCGACCATAAATTTTCATTTTCTTTTTTCTTTTGCGAAGAGCGGTGTCGTAAAAATGTTGGGTCGATAATCGACCGATGTTTTTAGTGTAATGACCGCGAGAACACTTGTCCAACAAGATTCATTACTTGGCCAGGAGAGCTGTCGCTTTTGTCAGAGAAGTTGTCTGATTCTCTGGGGCGATTCGAAGTGATTTTGACAGCTTTTTGGGCCGTTTTTAAGGGGATTTTGGCTAGTTTGGAGTAATTTTTGAAATTTGTAAAAAAATTTTTGTTGCTTTTGATGTATTTTTCCTCTTTTTCTTACTGTATCTCTGTCATACTGTAACATTTGAAAAAAGAACTTTTTACATATAAAATTCCCATTCTTTTCTCCATCCTATATCACCAACTTTCTCCCCCTCCACCCTCCCCTCTTCCCACAATCTTTCACTTTCTCTCACCACCTCCCTTCCAAGTGTGATGTTTGGCGAGCGGCACGCTTCTCGCTGTAATCTGTCATTTCGGCGGCCAGAAAAGAGAAGAACAAGACATGTTCGGGATCAGCAGTTCATAAAAGAAAATGTAAAACGACACAGCTCAAAAACTTAATAATCAATCAGGGCCGAGGGATGACAGCCGAGGTGGGAATGTAAATAAAGGGGGGCCGTCTGCTCGTACATCGCAATTTTGCCATAGCCGAGAATTATGGTTGCGGCTGGGGGTTTTTTGATTTAGTTTTTGAGGTTGAGTACAGTAAGATGTGTAAAATGTGAAAATTTTTGAAAAATCCAAAAATTTCATTTTAAAATTTTCAAAAGTCTTGTCGTTTTTGAACGTGCAAGCCAATTTAAATAAACGACAAGACTTTTAAACTCAATAACTTAATGTAAACCAAGATACAGCTTTGAACATTTTTAACCTCATTTCAAAATGCCATTCTTAACTTCACCTTCTCAAAACACCCCCTTAAACCCCATATAATGCCACTTTTTACCCAGTTTTCATCAACTCAACTCATGGCTAATATACCCAAACCTTGATTTACAATAATGTTAGAAACCTGTCAGATAATTGCCCTAATCCTCGGAGATGGTCGTAAAATTGGGCTGAGAACGCTGCTGACAGCGATGCCGTGTTAATTAGGTCGCGCGCGTGTCAGAACATGGCCTCAAACGTCTTCAGTTTATTGTGACAGTGCAATCAGGCGCAATGTTGTCGTATCTTGCAAGCTCATCCTATTGTTTTCGTATTGTGCAAGCGGTAATATCGATAATCATGCGAAAGTTTGTTGTTGACTAGGGTGGTTTAGAGGTAAAAATAGGCAAATTATGAAAATGAGCTAAAGTTTTGTCGTGTTACAGCGTGTAGAGCTGTTTGGACTAACGACAAGACGTTTTGACAGCTTTTCCATTACAAAAGACAACCATAACATAGCCATGTGGGCATAAAAAAGGTTGAAATAAGCCTAAAGAAACTAAAGATACCTGTCTTTTCTACTGTTTTCGAATTTTCAAGCCCCCCCCTCCAATTGCCACTAACAACTTTTTGCCCAGAAATCTTGCACTTAATTTGCATGGTATGATCTTACTGTTTGCACTGGCGCACCATTCCATATCCGTTAGATTTTGACCCCCATGAGGCTTAAATTACCGGAAAAAGTTTGGCGGGGACAAAGTCACTTCCCGGACTTTCCCATAAATCCGATACCCCCGGCTTCCCGTGCCCATAAATTTGAGGCAATTTCGAGTGAGATTTTCGCAACTACTTAGTGTTAGGAAAGGCGACACTGTGCGGCGAATATGACGTGGGATTTGGCACAAGGTGGAGGGGGGAGGGAGGGGGGGGGGTTGATTCTTGTTTAAAAAAAGTTTTTTAATTTTTTGTGACTGTGTAAGTACTATGTTAAAAGATAAAGTTACTGAGCTATTAATATTGTCATAAGGTTGTTTACAGTACTATCGAAATTTTTAAGTTACCTTACTGGTACTGTAATTCCACCAAACTTTTCAAAGTTTCAGTATCTACCATTAAAACGCCAAAAAAAACCTTTCTCTTTGTCCAAGCCTAGCCTTTCAAAAGGAATCCCTACTCGAGCCTAACCTCCAAAAAACTATTCCTCCCAAGCCTAACTTCTAAAAAACTATCTTTACCCCAGCCTACCCTCAAAAAAAACTTTCTCCCCCCCCAAATTACCAGTCAATTATCAAGGGTTAATTCGATTCCGAACCCTTCGAAATTACTCGCCAGACCCAATTCATGTTTAATTATCATAGTTTTTCGAATTCTCCGCGGTCCAATCGGCTTCGTGGCGGCTTCGCGAAAGCGCAAAGAATCCCCCAGAGAGTTTTTCATGACGGCCCCGACTACAGTAACACATTTCCCGTTAAATTTCGTGATTCGCAGTACGAGAATTTCGCTCTTCATTGAATTTAAATAAACTGGAAGGTTTAATTTGAAAGCGGCGCTTTGGAAAACAGCATATTTGGGAAGGCTAAACAGTGTTTTAGGCATGTATGGCAAGTTTATTAAAAAATTGCTTTTTAGGCCTTTAGGTTCAAAACTTTTAGATTTTACATAACAAAATCATCATTATAAGGCTTCTAAAGCTTACAAACTTATTAAAAACAGCCTTTTAGACATTTAAATCAAAACTTTTGAACTTAGTAAATCTGTAAGTTCAAAACTTTTAGCTGCCACTTAAAAAACATCATTTTAGGTAACACTAACAGTCTTTTTAAATGTTTTCCCAGACGTCTTTTCAAGCTTTTTATTGAGAGCTACTAGCTTTAATAAGCAAGACATGGTCGATTGAACAAAGTCAATAAAACCACCAGCCGTTGCCGCCAAATTAGTCGGCTTAAGCATGTGAAATTTACTGGAAAATTCAACACAAATGTTGCTCTAGGTCTGCATCATATTTTAGGACCTTAGAGATAGTAAATTTTTAAGTCTTTTTGAAAAAATTGGCTTTATATCGAAAAAGAAGTGAAAAAACAAAAAACATAAAAACATTTTTGAATTTAAAGTGCCATAACTTCTTAAACGCTACTCTTAAAAATTTAAAATTTTGAAGTTTTGTAGCCAGTAGTCTTGCAATTCAAAAGTTTAAAAGTTTTTCTCTAATTTATTAGTTTTGTCGCAGTATTTTGCTCCAAACCCGCAACCTTCCTGACTCACAAACTCGCAAAATATTCGTTTTCATTGGGTGCGACTAATCCTGTTTGTACTGTAAGAATATCTCCCGTCGCTGCCGTTAATGCTCTTAAATCCCACCACACTCTCGACTCGCAAAGAGATGACACCCCGTGCTTACTATCCTCTCGAGAGAAATTATAAAAAATATCACAGTAGGCTCGAAAGTCATCAAAATATTGGTTTTGGGGGGGTACTGTAGGGGGGAGTTGGTGAATTTTTTATTTTTTTTAAATTTAGGTGACAAATGTGATATAAAAACCTTAATTTATGTATAAAATGTCATATAATAGCCTAAAATAACTTTGTCATCAATTTTTAAGTAAAAATTTTTTTTTTTAATTTCAATATTTTGAAATTTCAATATTTAAAATCTTTAAAAATGTCAAAAACTTACAAACTCGTTCTTGTTGGTCATGTTATTGGTAACTTTGACTCGGCAGAAGCTGGCGCCCTTCTTCATCCAAGTTTCACCGTCCTGTGGTGAATCCGGGTGAACGTGAATAGGCTTGTGAACTTCTGGATCTGCTTTCCCTGCCAATCCCCATTTGGAATTGTGGAATTTGTACCTGTGTTGATCTACCGGGACAATATCTAACATAACATAGTATTTAGACTTGGGATCGAGACCTTTGATCTTCACTTTTACTGCAGGGAACATTCGCCTGAAATTTTGCGTTTATAGACTGGTTTTAACAAGCAAGGTATAGTCAATTTATAGCTTGAAACTTATTGAGATATCTCTTAAATCATTGTAAAGTACGAAGTAGTTAACACTATGTCATTTAAAGCCCAAAACAGACCTGCCACTCTTAGTAATGATCATTTCATTCGTGCAATCACTAAAACGATCCCACAGCTCCTTCTCTTCCAACTCAATCGATGGATCGTCTTTAACCCCATCGTTCTCGTTACTCCACTGTAACCCTCCAAACGGAGGTCCAGGTGGCGGCACATGCCCACCCCTCATGAATGGCATAGCCATCGGGTTGTTGGCCATCGACAGTTGTGGCGGTAGCATGGGGAACGGAAGCTGGTTCTGTAGGAAAGGGAACAACATCTGGAAGTCGGGATTCAGACCTGGGATCGACGGCTGACTAGAATTGGATTGGGCTTGGCCGTTATTCATTCAACCTGCGGCCAGGGGATGGTTTTGGTCAATAAGTGACGAATCTTGACTAGAAGGTAGATTGCACGGTCGGAATCTGAAGAAAATGATAGGTTTAGGTAAGAAAGATTGATTTTAGGTAACAAAACGCGAAGTTTAGGTAACAAAATTTTAATTTTAGGGAACAAAATGCAAATTTAAAAAAAAATTAAAATTTATAACCAGATCGCCTATAACCTCCAAATTTTAATCAAAAATCAGCAACAAAGTCACAAAAAATACCATTTAAACCCTCCGGAAGTCAATATACCATGCTTTTTACATTAACCTTTCTATGTTATTTTAAAAAATTTATAAAATTAAAAAAAAACTGAAAATATATTATCACAATTCAACAACATCTGGAAGCCAAAAGGTTCAAAGAAAATGGCATAAATAGCGAATGGGAGTGTTAAAAATGACAAGAACATTAACACTGGAAGGGGATTGACATTCTGAAGGCGGCGTGCTTGAAACGTTTATACGATCGGCGCCGGAAATGATTGAAACTTGAAGGTTTTTTGACTTAACACCTTGCCTTAGGGGTTTTAGGGATTTTTTGAAGGGTTACCAGCATTTTGATGCAATTTTTAAATTTTTTAAAAATTAAAAATTTTAAAAATTTTTTTAAAAATTTTTTTTAAATTGAAAAAAATTTTCTTACCCTACCATACCCTACCCCACCCTAATCTCCAACTTTCCCTCTCCCCCTTCTCTCCCCACCTCTCCAAAAACCCTTTACGTAGGTGTGATTCCACCAAACGCATCACAACATCGCCCAAACTTCTGGTCGCGCATGTAAAACTATCGAGACGAGACTGATTAGAATCAACAAAAGCTCAGTGTCGCGTTAAAGTGTTACTTTTTTTGCACTAATCAAATTAAAATGTGTTCAATTTAAAATTCAAATTAATTATTCGAATTTATAGCAGCTGATTTTTGTCTAAATTGGCGAAAAAATCATATATTATTATGTTGTTCAAATAATTCTGTGCTCTCTGACTTGCAAATTTGAATTAAAGAAAGGTACAGGACTTTCTGAACAATTTTTTTTTATTTTAAAGCAGCAAAAGTGTCTAAAAATAGTTAAAATACCAAAAAAAGTTTAACTAGAACCAATTCACAAAAAAAACTTTTTTTTTATTTTTCATTAAAATATTCAAATTCAAGCCATTTTAAACTCTATACAATAAAAATTACCGTCAAAATCAATACAAAAATACCAAAAATTCCCAAAAAACCATAGTAACCCAAATTTGAATTGACAAAATTCATAGTAAACCGCAACGGGAAGAGAGCTGTTTATCAATTCGTCGCGGTGATTAGAGTGTTAAGAAAATTTTGAAGGTTTTGGCGACAGGAAAAGTGACGAGAAGAAGCGTTTATTCGAGAAAAACTGAAAGTGATCAACGATGAAAGGAAAGTACAATGGTAGAGGGGGTTACTGGGAATGGGTTACGGCTACAATGCCATTTCTTAATAAAGCGGTTTTGCGACAATGGTTTTTTAAAATGATGTTGAGCGTTTTGGCTGTCATACTGTACTGAAATTTTTGAAATTTTTTTACTTTTTAACATCGCGACGGCTACTATAATATCATCAAGTACTACTAGGTCGTTCAGATAATTCTGTGCTGTTTTAGAAACAAATTTTTGGCTTTAGGGGACACAGAATTATTTGGACAACCTAAATATATCATCATGTTTAATTTCATCAATTATTATATCATCATGTTCAATATAATCAAAGACTATGTCATCAAAGTCTATATCATGTATATATACCCTACCCTTAAAAATACCCCCTCCAATACGAAAAAAACCAAATTTTGTTACCTAAAAATCTCTTAAAACCCCATAAAAAGCCCATTTCCATCGTTAGCACGTCACCCCACCCTCTTTTCACTCATATGCCCACACAATAAGCGTACTGTAGACCACTTAGCACAAATCATATCCACCCCAACTACCATAAATCTCCGGAGGGCCATAACCACTTAGGAGAGCGGCTTTTTGTCACCAATAGCGACAAACCTAGCACTCCACCCCTGAAGCTTGACACACTCCCCGTTTTTGCCACTCCTTAAGCCGCCAAATGTCTGTCGGTCTCTCGCTTTTGCGTGATGTCTCGTTGAGAGTTGAGGGTTGTTCTTTCGGTGTTTTTTGCCACGCCCTCTCCGCGGAGTACGATATGTTTATGTTGGGTGGGGTAGTTTGCGGGGTTCTCTTTGCGACTACTGTTTTTGACTTGTGTTTCCGACAATAATTTTTGGGCTGTTAAAAATGTCTGACTCTCTTCGTTGTGCACGCTATTTTCTATTTCTTAAACTTCAAGCCTTCCGGCCGTTTGTCTTATCTCCCTTTTCACTAAAATCTACCCTCTCTAAGTTTCACCCTAACCCCCTCTTCCTTTTCCACACTCTCTGTCTTCCTCTCATTGTCTCTCTACCCTCCCAACTCCCCATACTCTCTCGTTTGTTTGTCCAGAAGAAAGGAAAGGCCGACGCCCCGCCCCTTTTCCACCCCTCCGTCGCGCGCGCTGATTGGTCGCTGTGCGGCTTGTCGCACCGCGGACGAGGAAATCGGATCCCAGCGAGACGAAAGTTGTTATAACAAATTGATCGACAGGTCGATTCGTGGCAAACGCAACAGCTTCACAATGGCTTTGGGCCTTTCAAATTGGACAAGGTCTTTAAAAATCTAACATCAGGGGGGGGCGAAAACACGCTTAATCAATGGTTAAGTTGTTCGCAAGTGCTAAATTTGAAAAGTAATTAATAGGGTGTGGGCTTTGAGTTAAGTGAGTGCTGGAGGGTTGAGAAGGCGACGAAACATGAGGTGCTTTAGGTGTTAAAACTAAAGTTATGACTAAATGCGACAAAACTTTTGGCAAGTTTTTTGTTTAAAACGTAAAAAATGTCATAATATAAAACTATGCTCTATCAAAAAATGACATTTTATAACTAACCTCTATTAAAAAATGGCATTTTCTAACCTAAAATCAAGAAAAAAAAATTTTCTCCAAAAAAAATCAAAGAAAAAGTCATTTTTAAGTGTCAAAAACAACACAAATTTAAAAAAAAAGTCATTTTAAGTAGAAACGTGTCTTCACAAGACCGCACACACCAGCTACAATCATATCAGCCTCTTATCAATCTCAATTAAAACCGTTATTTACTTAAAACGTTAAGCAATCAGACTACTTGATGCTTGTTGCTGCACCAGACACTCCTCTTTATTAAGCTTAGTACTGTTTTGGGCAGCACAGTACTTGGGTTTTATAGTACAAAAATATAGTACGTTCTATAAGGGAGGTTTGGGATAGTAGAGCGGGTGTTACAGTAATCTTTTGAGGGAGTTACAGTAGTTTTCATTAAGGGTAAGCCTGACTTTTATAAAAATTTTTAGTGGTACTTCCCTTGTTTTTACAGTACCACATTCTTTACAGTACCATAATCAACCTTTGCTATACCACTCTTAAAGCCAACAGTACTAAGCCACAATTTTACAGTACTACCCCCACCCCCACCCCCTTCAGATTAAGCCACACAATCCCCTAAAAACAAAAGCCCCCTACCCTCTCACTTAATCCGCCCCGACTGTAAACACCCTACTGATAAAGGCGACAAGTTAATGATAGAGAGTGTTATGAATGCCGATAGGCTAACGGCGGACAGGAAAGCGCCCGAGGCACCTGTCTTCTCACTTTCCCCAACTTTTTTTCTCACTCAAAACACGACTCTCGGACACGGTTCTGACATGCTTCATGTCAACATACGCTGCTGTTTTGGGCACGATTCGAAAGGCGAGGGAAGGGGGATTATAAGGGAAATGTTGGGTGGAGTAATAAGGGGGTTTTGGAATAGTTATGGGTAAAATAAGGGGTGTTTTGGGGTAGATGTGGCTAAAATATGAAGGCTGAGTTAGGGTGAAAGCAAAGTTTTAGAGGGAAAGGTAGCTTTTTAGTGTCTAAAATTATTTTAGTAGAAACCAATAGGTCTCAAAAAATGTGTCACAACCTAAAATTAAAAAAAAATTTCTTTCCCCCCCCCCCTTACCTCAAATTTTTTTTCAAAAAATTGTAGTAGGGCTTCTTTCTTTATTAAAGGCAGAAAAGTACCTATCGGAAAATTTTTTTGACCTCCCCTTATTCCCAATCAAAAGTGACATACCCACCACCAAAACCCTAAAACCCACCCATACCGTACCCTGTTTTCCTCCCCATGCCCACGAAAACAATCCCGGATTCTAGCGCATCGTAAAACCGTTTGGGCTTGGGCGAAAACCGGGCCACGACATGCCTCGGATTTTAACGACAATTTTTACAACAAACCCCTTAGGGCTTGGTTTGCTCTCAATCATCTTCCTCTTCATTTTTTATTATGGGCCAATGGCGACGCCCCCCCCCCCCTCTCCCGGAAGACTTTTATATGTGCCTTGCGGGCTCGCTTTTCGGGATGATTGAGTCGCTCCTAATGACACAAACTTAAGCCCCATGTCAACCTTTGCGGCCGGTTATCGCCCCGGATGCCGGCACTCCGTTATCCGCCACTAATAAGCGACAGACCGACGATTTCTAGTAAATAAACAGCATCTACCATAACATGACGGCTGAGGGTTTGGGAGGCTTTTTGAGGAAAAAAGTAAAAAAATATTTAAAAAATCAAAAGCGATAAAACAAAAGTAGCATAAAAATTAAAAATTTTTAAGCGACGAGGTATATATTATCCAAAAAAATGAAAAAATTTCAAAAATTATAAATTTTAAGCTACCTAAATTAACAAGTTGCCATTTTTAAATAACTGAATTTCAGAAAATCAAATCAACATAACACCAGCAGACTCTTAAGACAATGTAAAGTACGGTTACACTAAATTTATCATTTTTCAAGCTTTAAAATTATTTTAAAATTGCATTTTTTTAACACAAAAAAAGGCTAAAATACAGATTTTAGGTCATATAAAGCCAACATATTATTGAAAAATCGTCATTTTCTTAAACTTAAAATTTTAAAGTGAAAATTTGAATTAATTAAAAGTATACTATTGTTTAGAGGCTATTCAATAGTCCCTAAACAATAGTAAAATATCATAAGTTGCCTCATTTTAGACCCGCGACAACTATTTTTTTTGTAAAAAACGGCCTAAAATCCAAATTTTTAGCGTTTTGTTGGTGTTTTAGAGCACAAAACAGCCAAGTAAAGCCTTTGAAAATGTGTCAAAACTTTAAAAATTTAATTTTTAATGTTGTACAGCCCTAGAATATTACTATAGCCATTCTTAAACTTAAAAAATCCGCTATGAAAACCTTTTTAAAACTCTTTAAAATCCACCAAATATATATGAAAAACCTTCCAAAACTCATCAAAAACCCCTAAAAATCCCAAAAAAATCAAAAAATTTAATTTTTTTTCAAGTTTCCTCAACTTATCGAGGGTCGTATCACTTCACACCCCTCGGGTCTGGAGTGGTTTTCGAAGTACAAGCGCGTTTATGTCAGGAAGATCTCGGGTTTGTGGAGACTTGTTTAAACAAACGTGTCGAGAAAATTTATGGCCACGGTTTTTACTGGGTTTCTGTTTGATTTTTACACGTTTCAAAGCCAAAACTGGGGAGAGGAGAGGGGGCATGGTATAGTGGAGGAAGTGTATATTGTTACAGTAGGGTGTGGCAAGTAAAGCGAGGTATAGTAAGAAGTAAATGTAAGGTTTTACAGAGAGAAAAGCATTTTAAACAGCTGTTTATAGTAACAAATTTGTCTAAAAATCACATTTTTTGGCTATTTTTCGTCATTTTGTTACCTAAAAAGAAAAATATTTAGCCTCTTTTTGACCAATTTACTCACTTTGTTATATAAATTCAAATATAAAACGACAATTTAGAACTGCGACAACACCAACACGTCAAAATTCTAAAGCCGACCCTTGCCAAACACTCCAAAACCTCATTTTTTGCCATTTATCGCAACTATCTACTCTCAAAACCAACCCAAAACCTTTATATTACAGTACACCACACTCATAAAAACTTGCGACAAGAAGACTGATCCTGCGACAAAAAAGAAGCCGAGAAATAAAATCAAAAATTGTCAAATTAAACACATTTCAAAGTGCCGCAAGACAAATAAGGCCTTATCAGTGCCTCGTCGTCGCCGCCAAAAAAACTTAATTTAATAAGTTAGCGAACAAAAAAGCGACAAAATACCAGCCCGAAGGGGGGGGAGGTCGAGGTGCGGAAAGCGACACGGCCGCCCCAATTGGCTTCGGCCCCTCAGGGTCCGTGATTCGATTTGAAACGCCTGTTTTCGCACGTTTTTCAGGCTGTGAACGATTGTGAAGCAGGGGGGAAGAGAAATGATCAGTAATTTTGACAAATTTGTCGCAGAAAAAAGTTTTAGTCATATCATCATAGCATATTACAAGCCTATAACACTAAAAAATCAAAAAACCTTTAAAAAACTTAATTTTGCACTGTGCAATTCATAAACAATAATTTCCTTGCACCGTGCAGTCTCAAAACTCCCTTTTGCACTGTGCAGTCCTCTAAAGCCTAATAAACATTTGCACAGGCAACCCATAAACCCAATTTCCATTGCACAGTGCAATTCCCAAACCCTTTCTCTCCTTGCACTGTGCAATCGCTCATTTCCAAACCACTATTGCACGGTGCGGTCCCCCAAACCCAATCAAACAAGCTGCACGGTGCAAACCCCAACCAAAAGCCGCGACATCGAACCCCCACTGATCCCACGGACAAACAAAACACTCGAGAAGCCAACGACATTCTGCACAACAGCGACAACAACACGCAGGTTGTTGAGAAGCCGCACCTTCAGTGCGATTCCGTTCGTTTTGTCGCCGTCGACAATCAGGCCTTCAGCGCGATGGGCGTGGCTTAACACTCGAGGAGGAAGGCGCGACAAACCGAGAGAGAGAGGGTGCGAGAGCGACAAATGGAAAAAGAGTGCAAGGGCGACGAGGAAAGCGCGACATCTTGCACTTGTGTCGCAAGTGCCGCAAACAGCACTTGTGGTGCAAGAAATCGCAAATTGGGGGCGGAGCGACACAAAGGTGCGGGTGCAACAAAGGTTTTGGACACGCGATTCAGCGACAAAGTGTTGAAACGCGATGCGACAAAGGTTTTTGAAAGTGCTGCGACAGGAATTCAGATAGCGATGCGACAGAATTCTGAAACGCGATGATTTTGTCGCAATTCATCAATTTTTCACATCGTCGCTTTGATGCACCGTGGGATCACGCAAATTTGGCGACAAGGGAGAATTGTCGCTGGCGACAAGGATTTAAGGCTGCGACAACGACACGGCCTGAAAGCATTCCGAGTTCAGCGACACGGTTCAGCAACAAAATTTTGGGAACGCGACAAGCGATGCGTGAAGATTGAAATGGAGTCGTCGCGGTGTTTCTTTTGTTTCAGCGACACTGCACTTTGTCGCAATCAGTTGGGAAAATCTCGACTCGCCTCCGGTTTGATTGGACGCGACAGGAGGGTGGCGACACTGCACGGTGCAGTAAAATTGGGCCGGAGTTTGCACTGTGCAATGGTTTTTAAATGGGATTGCACTGTGCAAAAGAGAAAATAAGGGACTGCACGGTGCAAAAGGTAAGAATTAGGCTGCACAGTGCAAAGAGAATCAAAATGACTGCACAGTGCAATGAAAATAATATTGATTGCACCGTGCAAGATTAAATAAAAGTTACTGCACAGTGCAAAACTAGAAAAACCGGTAAGAAAATTAAAAAAAAAATACAAAAAAAAATTAAAAAAAAAAATATTTGTCGCTCCCCCAACTACCATACAAAAAAAAAACTGCATTTTATGTAAAAACCTTACCAAAAACCCGCATTTTTCTCCAAAACCCCACCCAATCAAGGCTGATAAGCGTCGCCGGCACCCTTGCTTCATGCCTTTTGTAAGAGGTGATCGCCTTGTTCCGTTTGTTTTTGTTTCCGCAACTTACGTCAATTCGTGTTGGCAAAACAAGTCTTGTCCACCAATGAAAATTCAAAATCGCGTGCACTGTGCGGCAAAAATGAAAGAGTTGCGATAAAATGCGAAAAAATGTTTAAAAAATGTAAAAAGAGGGGATGTTTTGAAATTTTTAATGTTAAAACGTGAGCATGGCGAGGTCGGTTGGGTGCTGGAATAGGGTAGTTTAAAAAAATTTTATCTGGGAGGAAGGGGGGGGCGGGTGATCTTTTAAATTTTTAATTTAAAAAATTTGGCCGTTTTCACTAAAAAAATTATTTTTTTTCAAAAATAAAAAATAAATTTTAAAGTAGCTTTTCTTCTCCCCCCCCTTTCCATCCTCCAGAAACGTTGAAAATCCTTTAAATAACCTAAAATTCGAGCGGAAATCGTAAAAAAAAGATTACAACCTTGAAATGTAAACTCTTCGAACTATTCAAATAATGTAAATCAAGCAAGGAGTTATCGCTATTTTATGTATTTTCTATTTTTTCATTTTTTACATCATTTTCTTTTAAATTCGCCGCCAATTTTATTGTCATTGCTATTACTATAGTAAGCGTTATTATGGCTACTGTAAGTTTTTTATAGCATTAATCTACCATAGTAAGCTTTAGTAGCAGTAATCTACTATAGTAGACGTTATTATTAAATTGTTTATATAATTCTGTGCCCTTTGTTAAAGCAAGTTTACAGGGTTAGGAAGCACAGAATTATTTGAACAACTTACTATTAATAGGAGTAATTCTTACAGTATAAAAAATTGATAAAGAAAAGACTACTGTAAAAAAGATTTTTACAATCCTATGATTTACTCATATTTAAAAAAAATCACAAAATGTTACAGTAACCATGCGGAAGATACAAAAAAATCATTTTGCACTGTGCAAATAAAAAATTATTATAAAATATGCCAAAATCAACCATTACCCAAAACTTTTTGACCTCAAAAACAACATTATGTTATAGTTTAGGTAGCTAAACCCCCACCATGTTATGATTTAGAGAGATCAACCTTATGTTACAGTAGATAAGCTAATTATGGCTGAACAACACCTCAAGTGTTATCGTACGATCAGATAGCATGGTACGATGTTGCCACGGTTTTATGATTCAATAATCTCCGAATTGGACATCTTTATTGCGGCTAATTAATGACTAATTGGTTGTGTCACACTATGACAACATAACTGTATATGTTTGGGTTGGATCATGGTGTTTATGAGGCTGGTATGTTTTTGGGTAGAAGTTGATAAAGAGATCATTCTGGATGTAAAATACAACTTTGAAAGTTTGATCCTGAAGATACTGTAAGTAGAACAAAGGCTACAAAGAGAACACTTCAACTTACTGTAACCCAGCTTAAATTGTACTGTAGAGTATTATGGTGTAAAACAAGCGTACTCTTCGTAAAATACGAACAAAACCTTTTTTATAGTTAGCATTTTAACAACAAAAAAAATTTTTAAAGTGCAGTATTATATAAAAAGTTATTTTACTGTAGTACTATCGTTATATAGTACTACATATTATAAGATAAATACACAATTTATAAACATATACATGTATATTTCTAATGTCTATAACAAGCTTTACATATATGCAACCACTACAACATAAGTTACATAAAGAAATCTAAAGGTAAGCACACTTGTTGACCCTAGAGTAAATCAGATCGGTGAGCAATTACAATAACATGGCTACGATGAAACAAGAACTGATTAGAAAGATGGGTCAACGATTAGATACGCTCTTTGACTGCCTTGTTACTCTAGGTAAAATTGTTGTAAAGCTACTACAAGATGAGATAAACTACCTGTTAGAAAAAGAATATGGATATATACTGTAACTAAAGTTTGGCATTATAAAGAAAATTTTTATTAGATTGTTCAAATAATCATGTGCCCCTTCTCAAAGAAAATTTTTAAAGTTGTGGGCACAGAATTAAATAAAAAGCTTTAAAAAATTTTAAAAAACTTATTTTTTTAATATCACCATGCCTATCACTACCTGCCTATTTAAGATCAAACACTATTTTACAGTATGACAGACCTTTTTTGATAGTGCCTCAAAAATACTTCCTCATACAAAAAATTGGAAAACTTTTAAAACCCACACAACTAAAGGTATGTGTGGTACGTTGGAGTTGCCGATGCTCGTAAACACTTTGTCAACTGGGGATATTTTACTACAATATAAATTCTCTTCCCAATTTTATGTGACTTTGCACCCGTAAAGTCATAAAGTGTTTGGTAAATTTACTTTTGGTGAGTCGTCTACTAGCTTATTGTCAGAATATTATAGTAGGTTCGCTATACCTACTAGTAGGTTTGCTACACCTACTACAATATATTGAAAATTTTAAATTTTTTGACTTATATGTTACTATGCAGTAGATATTAAGTATGTTTACGTAAAAATGATTTGTTTTTTTAATTTTAATGCAAAAAGAATAGCATGCTTTGCAAAATTTTAACATTTTGTCCAACCGCGCCATTCTTTTTGCATCAAAAAACAGTTTTTTAAATTTTGATTTTTGAGGTTTAGACAGCCTACAACAACATGTTCAAACCCCTGTATCTACTACAGTTTATTCAAATTCCTATATCTACTATAAAATTTTTAAGCTTCTCTATCTTCTGCAACATGATCATCTCCACTCATATCTACTACGACAAGTTTAAACCACTATATCTACTACAACATTTTTAAACATACTTTATCTACTATAATATGTTTCCTGCCCCCAATCTGTTCGCTCCGCTAAATGTCATAAAAAAGTCATAAAGAGATGACAAAAATTTGTCGACCAATCGCAAAACTCTTACTTTGGGCGTTTTATAACCGACCATTATCGCAATATAAACTCGCAGTTGTTAATTGGGCCGCAGTAAATGGTTTTATTGTTGACATGTCAACAAAAGTCATAAAGTAGCATTAAGTTGTGGTTTGGGCGATTTTTACAATTTTTTTTTCAAATTTTTAAAAAATTAAAATTTTTTTTGAATTGGAACGAGGTTTACGGTGCAAGGTTTTTTGGAAGGGACTGCACGGTGCAATGCATGTTGAGTTTTTTGCCACTATATAATACAGTAATAAACAACGTTTTATAATAATAAATAGCACAGTATCAAAAACAAATTTTTCGGTGTTATATACAAGCTGAAAATTTATTTTTGATACTACATAGTACGTAGTACTAAAAGTTAAAATTTAAGTACAAAAATCAATATACAATACTATAATTTAGTACTGTATTGTAAAAAAACATACTCCAAGCGCTATTATTTTTTGTACTATACAGTACGTAGTGCTAAAACTACAAGTCTAAAGCCAAAATTATAAACACAAGCACCCTTTGAGCTATAAAACGCTATTACAGTACCTCTACAGTAAGAAAACAGTACTCCTTTTCCAGCTTATTATACCCACCAAAAGCCCTACGTCCGATTGTTTTAAAGCCCCATACGTCGCGCGTCATGAAGTATTGTTTATGAACATGAGAATTGAAGATAGATGAAATAAGCGCAAGATTGTAAAGAACGATCCAATCTTTACAATCCTATTATAAAAACATAAACAGGCACCTGCTCTTGCGCCTCTGTGGCTAGATATCTAGTGTAAAGATTGAGATGGCATTACAGTATTAAGGGCTACTATACCATTACGGTATAAAAGTTACATTACTTTAAAACACGATTTTTGTAAGGTCCGAGCCCCCCTGTCGACACCAAAATTTTTTTTGCTTCAATTTGGCTCAATCTTGCACCAACGTGTACTAAAGTACTCATAAACACAATAAACTAAAAATTTTTTTTCAAAGTTACAGTAGTCAAGCATACTGTAACTGGCCTACGATTTTTATATCTCAAGAACGAATGGCGCTGGAAACGTAAACTTTTTTTTAAAATGTAGAGCATACAATATGATGTTACTTTGCTGTTTACACCAACTTCCTATGTCCACTAAAACTTATTTTAAAAAATTAAATTTTCAAAAAAGTTACAGTAATCTAGAAATATCTCAAAATAAAAGCACTCTGTTCGCTTATTTTTATTTTTGATTATTAAACTCCATTTTCTCGCGGTCCGAGTGCACACAAACACGGTGCACAGAAGTGTCGAAATGGGGTGCAAAAGTGCATTTGAAGTTGGCACATTGCAAAATTTTTTTTTCAAAAATTAAAAAAAAATGGTTTTGGGGTTGCAAAAACGT